TTCCTCTGATTTACTGAGGTTTATTCAACTTTTTTCTTTTCATTCAACCTTTTTCTTTAACAAACTAACAGAATCTCTAAAAATTTATCCTAAGTTTCTAAAAGAAATCGTACTAACCTGCTTTTTTAACGCAATTGTCTTATTTCTTTATTTTTTTTAATTGTCTTTATTTATTTATTTAGGTTTTTTCGTGAAAAAAATTAGGTTACTTTGATTCACTGAGGTTTTTTTACGTTATTTTTCAACAAACCCAAAAAATCTCAATAAAACATAAAAAATATCTAAAGAAATCAGTATAAACCTGTTTTTCTATCGAAGTTGTTTTATTTTTCAAATCTAAATAAGTTATTATATAGAAAAAGCCGACTTTTTGAAAAAAACTAAAGTTCCGTTGAATCATTCAGGTTTATTCTACCTTATTCTTTAACAAACCCATAAAATCACTAACAATAAATGTAAAGAATCTAAAAGAAATAAGTCGAATTCTGTTTTTTTGACGCAATTATTATTTTTTTAATATTTAAATAAGTGTTTATATAGAAAAAAAGGTTTTTTCGTAAAAACTCTAGTTCGTTTGACTCACTCCGATTTGTTTTAATTTTTTTTAACAAACCTACAGAATCTTTAATACTATTATACGATTCGAAATGAAATCAGTAGAAACATGTTTTTTGACGCAATTGTCTTTTTTTTATTTTGAGTAAAATATTATTTAAAAAAAAGAGTTTTGTCGTGAAAAACATAAGTTCCTTTGATTCACTAAAGTTTATTTTACCTTACTCCTTAACAAATCCACATAATCTATGAAAATATCTCAAAATATTTAAAAAGATATTAGTGGAAACCTCTATTTTTGACGCAACTATCTTTTTTTTTAATTTTAGATAAGTTATTATATAAATATATATATATATATATATATATATATATATATATATATATATTGTGTATATATATATATATATATATATATATATATATATATATATATATATATATATATATATATATATATATATATATATATATACACACAATATATATATATATATATACACACAATATATATATATATATATATATATATATATATATATATATATATATATATATATATATATATATATATATATATATATATATATATATATATATATATATATATATATGTAAGCATATATATATTTATATTTATTTTATTATTTTTATTATTATTATTATTATTATTGTTATTATTATTGCTATTATTATTATTTTTATTATTATTATTATTATTATCATTATTGTTATTATTTTTATTATTGCTATTATTTTTATTATTATTATTATTAATAATAATATTATTATTACAGTTGTAGCCGTAAAATATACATACCATATATACATACAGCGAGCAGGGAAAACATTCTACTATAAACAACCAGTTTATAAATATTTGTTCCAAATTTTATCCACAACCAGTTATCTAATCTAATTTTAAAAGAAAGTACAGTGGAGTTACTTGCTCGGTTAGTTCATTCCAGTATTTTGCTGATCTATTATATAATTGCTTGGGTCTTGGAAGACAGTTTGGATTATATTCACGTCTTTTTTTAAGATGGTGACCATGTCACTATGAGTTATAAACTTTGATTGATATAAATTATTAATAATATTTAATCGATGTATTAGTTTAAAAATTTGTATTAGATCGCATTGTAGACGCCGAAACTCGAGTGATGGTAAATTAAGTCTTTTAAGTCTTTCATAGTATTAAAGATTTCTCAAGTTTAAAGCCCATTTTGTTGCTTTACGTTGAACAGATTCAACCAAAGCTACGTTTATAAATATGATAATCTCAGCTTTTTAAATATGGGGCTCAAGAAGACACTGCATATTCAAGGTGTGGTTTTATAAACACTTTATATAATTTGAGAGCCATTTTTTCATCAACGATGGTGAATGTCCTTTTTAGCATACCAAGAATTTGTAATGATTTGGAGACAACTGATTGAATATGCGTACTCCACTTAAGGTTAGATGTAAAAATGACTCCTAAATCGCGCTCTTTAATAGAGCTTAATAGAATCCAAAAGATTTGCAAGGGTTTAGATTGGTAAGTTCATTAATAATGTCTGCAATGGAAAAATCCAAGTTGTTATTATAATTGCATTTAGGTTTAACTTCACTTTTATTTAACAATGGGAAATTTTCGGGGCTTTCAAGAGTAAACATGGATTTGAATTGAGAGTTCAGAAGTTCAAGTATATTGGGAAGAGTTTCAGTAATTTCACCTGAAGCATTTTTGAGAGAACGAACTTTATCTTTAATTTTTAGTTGGTTGTTAATGTATTTGTAAACAAGTTTTGGGTGGTTCTGAGGTTTTGATATAACTTCTTTTTCATGTAATATTTTTGCTTTAAATATTTCCGCATTAACGGAACGAATAAGACGATTGTAATTTGTTTTGAGACCTTTACTCTTCCATTTAGTTAAGCAGTTGATGTGCCAAGCCGATTTTTTTGCTCGGGTTAAGCTTTTAATATGTAGAGTAACCCAAGGATCATATTTTTTTTTTTTTTTTTTTAATCTCAGGGATAAAGGATTCGCAAGCAGTACGATAATAGGAAATTAATATGTTGAACATTTGATCCGCATTTTTGTGTAAAAATATAATATCCCAATCGGTTAATGCAATAAAGTTTAATATTGAACTATAATCAGCTTTGTTGTAACTTAACAATTGAGATTCGTTTTCGGGTAGCGGTTCTGAAACTAAGATTCTCCAGGTAATACTAAAGTGACCCTTAGTGTTATTACCTAATATAGAATTAGGAGAAAAATTTAAAATAGAATTTTTATATATATACACTGTATAATGTTTTTTTTATAATAATGTATAAAATGTATTGTATTAATATTTGTATAAAATGTAACAACGTCTTTTTACAGCGGTACTCGACGACAAGACCATACGGTCTTCTACGAGTTTACGCGTTCTTTTTATAAATATTTAGAATATATATCTTCACTTGTAATTATTTATATTTTTTTTATTTTAGCTTGAATTTTATGAAATATTAACGTGATGTTTTAAAATGTAATAAAGAACAAAAAAAAAATGTAGAAAAATTCTATTGTTATATGTAAACACATAAACACATATTACAAACTTTTTATTCCCTGTGTAATAAGATATTTACTTTCTTTTTTTTTACTAATATATAAACTTCACGGATATAAATTATTTCTGAGGGTTTATTGAGTTAAAAGCAATTCATTTATAACTTTAAATTCCTTTATAACCGATAAACCTTAAAATCGCTTCCACTATTAATTGCTAATAATGGTAACGCAAAAACAGCTTAATGATGCTCTTGAAAACGCTGATAAAATTCGCAGAGAAGAGCTCAAACAAGCTCTTTATGTAATTAAAACACTTACCGCCAGAATTGACAAACTTATTAATAAAATTGATCTGCAGGATAATGAAGTAAAATCTTTAAAAGATAGCAAAAGTAGTGAAAAACCTTTGTTATCTAAATTAGTTGAACAAGTCGGCAAACCCGGTACATTAGCAAACGTAACTGTAGTGAGCGCCCTCAATAAGCATAACAAGGACGTGACAAACAGAGAAAAGAGAATTGTAGTGTTTGGTCTACCAGAATCTGTTAAAACTCAACCAAGCGAGATAACCAAAGATGATACCGCGGAATTCAAGAAGGTTTTGGCGTCTTTAAGTAAATCAGTCAATGTAGTTAGAATTGAACGTTTCAAAAAAAAAAAGAAATTTAATTCTAGTAAACCCGCTCCTCTTATGATTGAAGTTGATTCAGTATTTATCAGAAATGACGTTTTAGCGTCGGCTAAACAACTGGCATCGGGTACTTTTAAAGATATATTTATACGCCCCGACCGCACAGCAGCAGAGCAAAGCGAATTTATTAAATTAAACTTAGAAAGAAAATCAGTTAATTCTGACCTTGAAAAGCTTGGAAAACTTGACCAACCCTTTAGATTTATCATCCGCAGCAAAACAGGCATGTTTATAGCACTCTGTGATATAAACATGCCTGATTTAATCTTTTTTTCTTTGACATGGTTTACTGAAACATCTGCCACTCAATTAAATAACTATTCACTAGTGAAAAAAAATAGAATAGTTCACGGTGGAGGTGTTGCTTTCTACATTAAGCGTGATCTAGTCGCGCATGAGGTATGTGATTGTCATCTAATAGAGACTTTAAACAACAGCAACTCCGAGCAAATATGGTGCGAAATGAAAATCGTTAACGAAATGATTCTTATTGGCTGCGTCTATAGACCACCTTTATCCCATACAGATGATATAAATAAAACAATTGTTTGAGCTAAGCAAGCTGTCGATAGAAAAGCGTATAGTTGTATGTTATTAGCAGGTGATTTCAACTTTCCGGATATTAAATGGCATAATGACGAAAGAATCAAATTACTAAGGGGTCAAAATAGTGTTGTAAGTGTTTTTCTTGTAACTTTGGCTAATCATAATCTAGAACAATTAGTTGATTTCTCAACCTTCGAACTTCGAAGGTTGAGAAATTAAGTTCGAAGCTTCAAAGTTCGAAGCATCTAATGGAAATGCAAAAAATGTTATGGATTTAATTATTATAGACTCTTCAACTAGAGTAATCAATTTATCTAGCTCTATGCCGTTAGGTGATTTGTCACAAGGTCATTGCATATTGAGTTGGGATTATGTCGTCTTTTCTAAAAATAGGACAACTTTCTCAAACAAAAAATATGATTTTAATAAGGGTGACTATAAAAACTTCGGTAAAAAGATTATGGAAACTAACTGGCAGCAGTTATTTGAAAATAAAAACACTAACAAATACTATAAACTTTTCTGCAATAAATATGATAAACTCAGCAAGCAATTCATCCCGTTAAAAAAAGTCCATTCTACTCGTAATGCACCGTGGATGAATAAGTAAGTATTAGCTATGATAAAGAAAAAACAACAACTGGGCAATTACTTATCTATGACAAACTGGCGATCAACGACCCTCATTTGTGAATATAAAAAACTAAGAAGCCAAGTTCAGAAAACACGTACACATCGTGTTCGAGTATTTGAAGCCCAACTGTCATCAGATAAAAATAATCCAAAAAGAATGTATGCTTATGCTAAAGCGCAACAGAACGTTCATGTATCTATTGGCGCTATATCAGATGCAAAAGGTGAAACGTTAACAGAGGCAATACATATCGCAAACAGACTTAACGAACACTTTAAATCAGTTTTTGTTGATGATAGCAAAAATGATCAGTTACCGGTTTTTGAGAAAAGACCTAATCAAGAAAACTTAGGCGATGTAATAATAAGTTTTGAAGCAACGCTAGCCTATTTGAATGGTTTGAACCCGAATAACTATATTGGTGTTGATAACATTAGTCCAAAGGTACTTAAAGAATGTGCAGCTCAAATGACTTACCCTCTAACATTAATTTACAATAAAGCACTGTCTGAAGGCTCAACACCTTCAGCCTGGAAGCAGTCACATGTTACTCCGTTGTTTAAAAAAGGAATTGTCTTGATGCCGCTAATTACAGTGTCTATTACTTCAGTTCCATATAAATTAATGGAAAAGATTATCAAGGAACAGATAACTAAATACCTTGAAAAAACGAGCATCTCAAACAATCAACATGGATTTATGTCCAAAAAGGGATGCACGTCTAACTAATTGGAAAGTGTCGACTACATTACAAAAGCGTTAAGAAAAAGAAATTTTGTTGGTATTGCATTTTTGGACTTTGCAAAAACGTTTAATAAAGTTTCTCATCGTAGACTACTACATAAATTGAAAGCATATTTCAGGTAATCACTCTAGCGACTGGACCGATGTTTTAAGCGGAGTTCCACAAGGGTACTTGGTCCAACATTATTCATCATCTGCATAAATGACTGAACGGATAATTTAAATTAGTTCATAAAATCTATGCTGATGACACTAAACTGTTGCAAGAAATAAGACCTGAGTTTCACGGTGCTGATTGTCTGATTCTTCAAAATGACTTAAACATTATCTCAGAGTGGTCAAAAGAATGGATTATGGAATTAAATGTTGCAAAGTGTAAAGTTATGCACCTTGGTCATGGAAATATAAATCATGAATATGTAATAAATGATGGTAATACATCTCTTATTATAGCGGCAATGGATATTGAAAGAGACCTGGGTATCTTTTTATCTAACGATCTAAAATGGAATCAACACATACAGGTTGCGATACGTAGAGCAAATATGATACTTGGCCTACTCAAAAAAACATTTATATCAAGAGATATTAAGCTTTGGGGTAAATTGTATACTACAAATGTTAGGCCGCACCTGGAATTAACTGTTCCGGTATGGTGTCCTTACTTAAAGGGCGACATCAAAGAAATTGAAAAAAATCAGCACAAAGCAACAAAAATTCTTCATGATTTAAGTTTACCTTATGCTGAAAGGTTTCTGCGTCTCAATTTTACTTTTTTGGAAACTCGCAGGCGACGCGGCGACTTGATCCAACAGTTTAAACTTGAAAACGGTTTTGAAATTATTAATTAGCATAATCCACCTCTTCGCAGATCATCATTCAACGTACTAACGCGTGATTTCACTTACAATAATGCTCGACATTATTTACCGTTGTCATGCACAAAGGCTCCGTCAATTAACTCATTTAAAAGTAGAATTGACAAGTACTTTTTTCCTACAGCTGCAAACAGTGCATCTTTTACTGAAGATGAGCTGCACATTTAATTTAATTAATTCGTGCTTTAGCAGCTACAAATATTGACTTTTTAGGTATATTTGTCATAAACGTAAACTGTAATTAAACAAAAGCAAAAAAAATAATAAAAAAAAAATAAAAATAAAAAAAAAATAATAAAAAAAAAAATAATAAATAAAAAAAAATAATAATAATAATAATAAAAAAAAAAAAAAATGCCTTTGTTTTTATATCTGTTTAGGATTGTTTTTTTATTTATTTGTCATGTAATCTATAAGGACTTATTTAAATATATTACTATTACTATCTGATATATATATTTAGTATTAAAATGAAAAAATACAACTTTTTATTTGTATTCAAAGTTTCATGTCTAGCGGCAATCATCAGTAATATTTTTTAAATCAAGAAATGATAAAACCGTTAAAAATGCAACGTAATGAGATCTGACGTCAAAAATCGATTAAATGATGTCTACCTTTACCCAGTGTCGAATTAACAAAAAAGGAATTTATTTCTATGCCGACATTTTAATATAGTTTCAGTTTTCTTATTTAATAAACTGTTGACATTGTTTGAAATAGTTTCATACTTTTCATAAAGGCTTAATTTGCACGATTTTGTTGTCAGGTTATATGCTTCACATCTTCTAGTTATTTTCCAATTAACTACAGGATTTTTATTACTATCTTTTAAGTTCCAAACCTCCTTTGACAGCTCTTTATTGTTTTTATATTTGGGGATATTAAATGATTTCAAATGGTTAGCATATATCAGTTTAAAAGGTGTTTCGCTAATACCAATGTATGATTTTTTTTTATTGAAGGGTTATCCAAATAAATAGTTGCTTGGTATACAATGTTATTGGTCAAGCACAGTGGCGGATTATCCATTAGGCTGAGTAGGCTGAAGCCTAGGGGCCCGTCAGCCATAGGGGCCCGGTTCGGAAGATGATTGCAAATTTTTTTTACAGCAAATATCGATATAGGTATGTATCATGGATAAATGAATGTATCAGAACCAAATGTTATTTTTTAACTAAAAAATCAATTTTGTAGCCCAGTTATGCTGCCCAAATGTTTGTTGATTACTTTGTCTTGGTCAAAAATTTGCTTTATCAGAACCAAATGTTATTTTTAAACTAAAAAATCAATTTTGTAGCCCAGTTATGCTGAGAATGGTATTCTTGAACAAATTGACACTACTGATGTCATTAGGTGTTTTGCAACACTGAAATAGGAAGCATACAGTAGATTCTTTAAGATAAGATTTACCCATGAAAATACGACACATACTGTACAGTAAATTCTGTGAAATAGGGGGTAGGGTGTGGGTGGATGGAACAGAAAAGCATTGCGCGCATCTACGTGACTCATAAGTATTTTGTATGTATATTCACAAACAATATTAATAAAACTTATAATATTCCTTGATTAAATATATATATATATAATAATGCAGTATCTTCATTGTATGTTTTTCGATTTCAGGTCAAAATGGCATATCATCACAAGTCTGGGTATCAAAAAGCTAAAGACCGTGAAGATAAAAAGAAACGTGAGGAAGCGGTCATTTCAAAAACTGTTAAAATAACTGAGCTTTTTCCTACGATTAGTGTCAATGTCAATAGAGAAGACCCACCATCGAATTCACCTTTACCATGTGTTGGTCAGTGTGGTTTGCCTGGTCAATTTGGTCATGAATTTGAACGTGATAACAGTGTTGCAGCTGTATGCACTCAATCTATCTCTCACTCTGAATCTGATGATGTGGTAGACGCGGAGACACTTTCTCAGAAACCAGAAGCACAAGCTGGTTCCAAAGGTGATCCAATTCCTTTTCCACTGACATTGGGCAATGGTCTGAAGTGGAAATCAATGATACATTCTGTAACTTTTGGGTAACTCGTGGCAGTGAATGTTGTCAACATTCAAAGTTCACTAGTTCAATGCAAATTGATGGAAAACAGAAGCGCTACTGCTCACAGAATCTCTTTTATCGTGTTCATTCTCGCAATGGTGAGAAAGTCCCAAGGTCATGGTTGTGTTATTCACCAGCAACATCTCGCATTTACTGCTTTGTATGTAAATTATTTTCTGCTGATGATAATTCATTCTCAAGGAATGGTTTTTGTGATTGGAAAAATGCAGCTTCACGAATACAGTCACATGAAAACAGCATTGCACATAGAAATGCAATAATCACATTCAGCCAAAGAGTACAAGTCAGAGGATGTGTAGATTCAGCAAGAGTTGAGCAATACAGACAGGAATGTGCATATGCAAAATCTGTGCTAGAAAGAGTTGTCTCAGTTATCAAATTCCTTGCTGAAAGAGGGCTCGCATTTAGAGGACATACTGAAATATTGGGGTCAAGTTCTAATGGCAGTTTTTTGGGAATTTTGGAGTTGATTGCTCAGTTTGATCCATTCCTCTCCAGTCATATTGACAACCATGGTGGTAAGGGGAAAGGCTCTGTTTCATACCTGTCATCAATAATTTGTGATGAGTTAATTGATGTCATGGGAAAGCAAGTTAAGAAAACAATATTGTCTGAAATACGTGGAGCAAAATTTTATTCGATTTCTGTTGACTCTACTCCAGACATATCTCATGTTGATAGGCTGTCATGTGTCTTTTGATATGTTTTGAACGATGGCCCTATAGAAAGGTTTGTGCAATTTTTAAGCATGAAAGGACATGGGGCAGAAGATTTGTTTAACTGTTTATACAGCTTTCTGGAAGAAGCAAAGTTGGATATAAAATATTGCCGAGGTCAGTCCTACGAAAATGCTAGCAATATGGCAGGAAAATATTCAGGGTTACAGGCACACATTCGAGAGAAGAACCCATTGGCTGAATATGTGCCATGTTTTGCACACTCCCTTAATTTAGTCGGTGCATCAGCTGTAAACTGCGTGACAACAGTGAGTGGATTTTTTGATTTTGTACAAAACTTGTATGTCTTTTTAAATGCATCAACCCAACGGTGGGAGCTTCTAATCAAAGGATTGGATAGTAACCAGTTAGTTCTAAAACCCCTTTCTGATACTCGATGGTCAGCACATTCTGCAGCAACTAAAGCATTGAGCAAAGGCTTTAAAAATGTTAAGATAGTGTTAGAGAACATTGCTGAGGACCCCGAGGAGAAGGTTGAAGTTCGCACTACAGCTGCAGGAATTGCAAAAAAGATGGATCAGTTAGAATATGGAATTTTATTAGAACTCTGGACACCCATATTAGATCGCTTTCATAAGACCAGTTTAAAACTGCAAAGTCCACAACTTGATCTAAATGAGGCTGTTCAACTGTTAACTTCACTAAAAGAATATGTAAATTCACTTCGAGCACAGTTTGATTTCTTTGAGAAGAAAGGAAAGGAAATAACAGGGTCAACTTCTTATAAAGAAGAGAATCAGAGGAAACGAAAGCGAAGGATTCAATTAACCCGTCATGATGGATCAGCTGATGAAACAGTGTTTTCGGCACAGCAGAAATTTCGAGTCATGGTTTTCTTGCCAGTACTTGATCACTTGAATTCAGCATTATGTAAACGATCAGAGGCATACAGTGGTGTATGTGATAAGTTTGGTTTTCTGAGAAACATTCGATCACTGGAACAGTCTGATTTGCGAAGAGCCAGTAGAAACTTGATAGATACTTATGTAGATGATTTGGAAGAGTCATTTGAAGATGAAATACTTCACTTCAAAGAATATTTGTTAGCTGATACGTACTTGCAACAGAATGAGAAAGAACTGTAATGTAGCATAGAGCTGTATATGTATCGGGCTTTGAGAAACAGCAGTGCACTACAAGATATATTTCCAAATGTTGCCACAGCACTTCACATATACCTCAGTTTGATGATCACCAACTGCAGTGATGAAAGATCATTCTCTGCATTGAAACGGATAAAAAAACTATCTGCGAAGTGCTTTGGGTGATGACAAACTGAATTCCCTTACTGTTATGTGTACTGAATCTGACATCCTAAGAAGCTGTGACTTCAATGAAATTTTATCAGACTTTGTTGAACGAAAATGCAGAAAAATGAATTTTTGATCGTGTTGTTTTTTTCTTTGGGTCAGCCATTTATAATATTAGTATTATCTCCAGATTTAAAAACTGGTATTACCCTTGCAATTTTAAGTTTTTTTGGAAAGATTCCTTGTTTAAACGAAAGATTAAATTACTGCTAATGTTATCAACTCCTTGTGATTTGTTTAATTTTAATGAAAGAACAGCATCTAATAACTCTTTTTCGGTTAACTCCGCATTTTCCATTATTGATTTGCTAGGAGTCAAGTATTTCTCCTTGTTAAAATCACTGTGTTTTAGTTTGGATGCTAAATTTAGACCTGCGTTGACAAATACGTCATTAAACGTTTTAGCAATTAGAGATTCTTTTGTAATATCTTGATGATTGTAATTGAGCTTTTTTGGAAGACCATTTAACATAATTGTTTTTTTTCCAATTACTTCCTTAATGACTTGCCACGTTTTTTGAGTATCACCTTTGAATTTTATTATTTTATTTGAGTGTAGTATAACTTTTTTGAAAGTTTTATAATTGATTCAAAGTGACTTTTATATTTTTTATACCTTAGTTCATTTACATAGGTTCTTTTTTTCAGAAATACTTCATACAAACGTTGTTTTTTTTTAGACGATTTTATTATTCCTGGTGTAATCCAGGGGTTTATAAATGTTTTAGTTTTAATAATTTTTGTTACCACCGGGAAAGCTTTATCATAATGATCTTTGAATATCCGAAGAAAACTGTTATAAGCAGTCTCTGCAGTTTGAATTTGTAAAATATCGTCCCAGTTTTCAGAAAATAAAGAATTATTAAAAAGTTCCATAGAAATGTCATTATATACTCGATTTGTAATTAATATTTTTTTGTGAGGGGTGTGTTCGACACTTTTATGTGCAATTATAAATATTGGGAAATGATCCGATATATCGGATATTATTATTCCAGTTTTTATTTTGTTTTTTGTATATTCATTAATTATTATTTGATCGATTGAAGTTGCGCTATTTCTAGTAATTCGTGTTGGTTTATTCATAGTTGGAATAAATCCATTTTGAAATATGATGTTCATAAAATTTTTAACATTTTTATTTGTGTCGTAATCAAGCACATTATAATTAAAATCTCCCACAAAGAAGACACGTTTGTCACATAAAACTTTGCTTTTAATTAATTTTTTAAAGTGTTTTTCAAAAAATTTATTATTGCCAGATGGCGGTCTGTATACGACATGTATAATGACGTTTTTTGTGACTTTATTTAAAATTTCGATCGTTAAAGATTCACAATCATTACTAATTACACTAAACTCGGTTAGCGGTTTAAAATTTAAAGAATTATGGATAAAAATACATACTCCTCCACCTATTGTCTCAGAGTTTCTGAGTTGATGAATAACTGTATAGTTTTTTAGTTGATAATTTGAATCTTTTTCAATTTGTTTATCTCGACACCAGGTCTCTGTGAGACAAATAATTTTAAAATTAATTTCAAGACCAAATAAAAAATCTTTAAATTTATCAAAATTTTTACGAAAGCTCCTAATATTTAGGTGTAAAATAGAGAATGCATTAATATCCAAATTTGCAGTAACATTAGAAATATCAGAATTATAATAAGAAGGACATATATTTTTAATGATTTCATCAGTGTTAAAAAAATTAACATCTGGATCTGAATTATTCTCTAAAAGTATATTTTTATTTGTTTGGAAAGCCTTAAAGCTTAAATCATGAAATTTTATATCTTCCATAACAACACGAAAGGTTATACTAACAAAATATATAGAGTATAAAATAATTAAAGGTTTGAAGGTAATTTCCTGAATTCTTTTACTATTAATTTATCGTAAATTACAACCGAAAACATACCATTTTTCCTATGTATCTTCATTTGCTCGAATAGTTTTTTCCTGATAGATGCAGTTTCCAAAGAATAATCCTCGTTGATATATATTCCCGATCCTTTTAGTTTACTCGCACTTTTTAAAACTTGTACTTTGTCTTTGTAATTTAACAGTTTCATTACTATTGATCTTGGTCTACCTGCTACAATTTTTCCTGACCTGTGCGCCCGTTCAATAACAATTCCTTTTAAATTAAGTTTTTCTTCAAAAATATTTAGTACCTTTAGTTCGGTTTCATCCCAATTTTCTTTTTCATTTTCCGATAATCCCTCTATTCTAAGATTATTCCTTCTTTGTCTATCTTCAAGCTGCCTTAGTTTATTATCTTCCGTATCTCTGCTTGCTGATTTTGATATAATTTTTTTTTCTAATTCGAGATTTTTTTTTTTCTTGTATGTCTTGTGTAAAGTTTAAACTATCTTCTATATCTTTTTGCACATTTTCATTTTTTTTTAATCTTTTAACGTAGTTTTTTTGTTCCTCTTTAATTAATGTGTTTTCTTTTTGGAGTGTCGCACACAACTCTTTTAAATTAGTTATTTCTTTCAGCAAACCATCAATTCTGTCGTTTGTTAATTTCAAATTTCCGCTTATTAGTTTTAGAATATCATTTTGTTGCTTAATAAACATTTCGTTGAATATACTCCGAACAAGCTTTATTGAAATAATTTGATCATCGTTTGTTAATTTATCCATGACTTTCGTTAATTTATAAAGATTGGTTAAAATAAAATTAAATTAAAAAATTAAATTAAAAAAAAAAAAAAAAAAAAAAGTTTCTGTGAAAAATTTCAAAATAACCACGCAGAATAAGCACGTCCGTTCACTTCCTTGTCAAAATGCGAATGTATATTACTTGTTATGGTACTAGAATTTCGCTCTCTTGTACTAAAACTCAAAAAATAAGTAGGTTTATATAGCCAAATTAATTGTTTATATTCATAATGCCAAATAAGTACGTAGCACCTTTTCTCCAATTAATATGTACTAAAACTCAAAAATGTACTAAAACTCAAAAAATAGGTAGGTTTATATAGCCAAATTAATTGTTTATATTCATAATGCCAAATAAGTACGTAGCACTTTTTCTCCAATTAATATGTACTAAAACTCAAAAAGGTACTAAAACTCAAAAAATAGGTAGGTTTATATAGCCAAATTAATTGTTTATATTCATAATGCCAAATAAATACGTAGCACCTTTTCTCCAGTTAATATATATAACCAAATGATTACACTCTCCCTGTCACCCAATGATAAAAGTCAGCCCACTGTTAAACATACAAACCACTCCTGCATATGTTGTTGTTAAACCACTCCTGCTTAAGTTGCTGATATTTTTTTTTTACTTATAATCTTGTTATAATCTTCTACAGAATGTTGCCTGGACAACATTCCCATCACAGTTTTAAAAAAGATGTTCTCCATACCTCTCTTTATTGCTCTCTAAACTATTTAACAAGTGCTTTTTTTCCTAATAATTTTCTTTTAACTCCAAACGTAATTCGATTTGCATGTAGCCTTGTTGAAGTAAAGTTTTTTTTTTTTAAAGAAAAAATTTTAACAAAAACTCTTGTGTCCGACATTTTGCTGGCAACCACATAGCATATATAATGATTTACCAGCTCCATGTTAAGCCGCTGCGACGTAACAGTTAGAGCTTCGGTCTACGTACAAGGTAACTCGAGCGTGATCAGTTAAACTCAATATTTTTTATTACCTTGTTTTAATAAAAATAAAATATTAGAATAAAAACTGTTATTTTTGTAACAACTTTTAATATATTTTTATAAGTTAATATCTTAAAATATAAAATTTATCTAAATTTTATACTTTAAAATACTAACTTACAAAATATATAGTTAATATGTTTTATGTTAAGGATTTTTTTCCTTCAAAAATACAAAAATACTTTGATGCTATAGGTCGCATTGTATTTTTTCCAATTTCACGATCAAATCAGCGCACTTTAACATTTTCAAGTCTGACTTTCTCAAATACGATCTTGATATTTTCTAAACCACGTTCTTGAAATTTTAAGTTTTGTTTACGCATTTTTTTTAAGTCTAACTTGGCATTGCCAGATTTCAAAGTTCTTGCATTCCACTCTAAGTTAAACATCACCATAAGTTAAACTATTTTTAAGTCCTTTGTATAATCAAATACGATAGACCCATTATTATTAAGACAGTAATAAAGCAAAAAACTTTCGAGCTAAAAAAATATTTTTTAATACTGAATTCTAAATACTGAAAAATCAAAGCATGACGTAAGAACTAAAAAATAAAATAAGTTTGTATTGCATTCATTTTTGGATTTAGAATGATGTATAATAAATAGTAAATAATGTTCGATTTCCAATTTTTAAAAAAGAAGAAAAAACTTTTTTTTGCAGACATTTTTTCGTTAACGATTAAGTTCAAAAATTCAAAAAAATTGAATTTATAAAAAAAAACACAGAAATTTGAATTTATTAAATTTTAAACGGCATCATCGATAAATTTATAAAACTTCAAAACGACAACCGAGAACATGGCCGACGACAGGGGTGGAAGGTGGGGGAAAGGGGAAGGAGGAGGGGGAAGGGGAAGGGGGGAAACACAATTGTAAATTTTAAAAAAAGTCCTCTTTATCTAGAATTTTCCTTTTTTTTTTTTTAAAAAAAAAAAGTTCTTTACAAAAATAGTGAGGGAAGGAGGGTACATGCCCCCCTCCCCGGTGTCGTCGGCCCTGGATAAATTTTAAATAGAATTACAAATGAAAAACTACATATTCTTTTGAAAACAATTTTTAAACTTAAAAAATGTTTTAACTTTTAGAACTAAAAAAAAAAAAATTTAAATAATACAATATACAAAATATACAAATAAAAAACTTGTTCAAGAGTTAAATAACTTTGGCGCTGAAAATATTCAAAATACAGAAAAATTATCGCATTTTATCTTAAAAGATTAACTTGAAATTGAATTTAGAGTAAAAAAGCTAAAATTTAAAAGCAAACTTAAAAAAGTTGACTTTAAAAACCTTCAATATCTCAATAAGCTTATGACGCTCTTTTTTCCTAATACAAAACATTTGACGCCAATATATATATATATATATATATATATATATATATATATATATATATATATATATATATATATATATATATATATATATATATATATATATATATATATATATATATATATATATATACATATATATACATACATATATATATATATATATATATATATATATATATATATATATATATATATATATATATATATATATATATATATATATATATATATATATATATATATATATATATATGTATATATATGTATATTTATTTATTTAGGCACATGCGGTAAGTTTATATAACACGATTATATTCAGATTTCTTTGCTACTAAGGCATCAATGAGACGTAACTTTGCTTTTATGAGCTAAAAAGATATTAAAAAACATTTACAATATTTTTAAGATAGGGTAAGGGGTAGTCCATAAATTATGCAATGCTTTAGGTGTGTGTGTGTGTGGGGGGGGGGGGGAATTTAGTGGTTTTGTGATGATTCATATAAGATTAGAAGTTAAAGCGGTTGCCATTAAAAAGAAGCTGCAGCTACTTAAACTAATTTTTTCAGCCGCCACTTTGCATTTTAAGCAACTACTAAGCCGTCAATCAAACAACGTAATCGGCTGCAGCCGATTTCAAATTCACCCTTGTTGGCTGACAAAAAATTGAGGCTTTAGTAAACCAATATTTTCTTGTCTAACTTAAAAGCAACAACAACTTTTTAGTAACTTTTTCTCATGTTGAAACAAGTTTTTAAGTTTGCTTAATAAAATCTCGAAGAGAAGGAGAGAAACAGTTGCGAAACGTTCCTCTAGACAAAATATCATATACTTTTTTTTTTGCCTGTTTTTAATTGTCATTTGTCAAATTAAATTAGCTGATTTAAACATAAAAAGTGTTTTTAAAACTTAGTTATGGATAGGAAAGAGCATTATGGTTTGCATAACTTTAAATTACTTAAACTGTGCAGCTTATTTAAGAGAAGACTCTTTATTATTATGTTAAAATATTGACACAAAGTTGTAAAGTTTTAGATGATGAACATTATTACTGTAGTAAATGTTCTTAATAGAAAAACAGTAAGTTGCGTCCTCAGCTGGAGGGCATTTATCAAAAATTCACAAGGTTAAGATTTTTACATCTAGCAGTAATTTAAAAAGTCATCTGTTTCTTGCTCAAAAATATCAACAGACAAACTGGCTGTTGAATTTAAAAAATTAACAACTTTACATAGATGGTGCTATAGTCCGCTAGATTAAATTAAAAAATCACCCCATTTTAGAATTTTCACAAAAATATTGAGAATTTTCACAAAATACCTCGAAAAAATCTTGTTTTGCAGAAAAAATCTGCTTCTTATTAAATTTCACAATTGACTTTAATATTTCCTTAAAGATTTGTAAATTGAGCAATTTACAAATCTTGTAAATTGGTAAGGTGATCGCCATTCGAAAACTTAAAAGATTTTGATAAGGCGTTTGATTTGATGGTTGGACTAACAAGTAAAAAAAAATTAGTTAAAGTGTTCCATTATTAATAATAACTAAGATAGAAAAATGTTTACTCTTGCATGTTTGTCTTTAGAAAATCATACAGGTGAAAACTGTCATAGTTTTATCAAAGAGATAAGATATATTAGGTTACATACTATGCAAAATGGTACAGCAAATAAGATAAAAACTTCTAGTTTTGCGTCTTAACTCTTAGGCTCAAAGGATCCACAACATTGTCTGTTTCATATCTTGCATATAATATTGAGATGTGATCTCATAGGTTAGCTTTATTTTTAGAGGAATACCATGTGAAGCAAATATACAATTGTACAATAATCTTTGATTCCTTGCTGAAGTGAAATGTACAATTTCCAATTTAAATTTATGATGATTCAAACATGATTAAAGAAAATTTTTTGATGGCGCATATAAAGAGAAATTTAAGTATATTTTTATAAAAAAAACCAGCATTGGAGCCTAAAACAGCAAATACGCACAAGATAGAATATTGCTCTCTGTAGAAATTTAACTTTTTGAAATTTGACAGGGAAGATCTTTGCTTAAAGAATTATGTTTAAACAATTATGAACAAAGCTTAATTTCTGAATTTGTTAAATTTAAAACCATTTGAATTATTAAACATTGTGGTCAGTGTTAGTAACTCTCTTTTGATTTTGTCATTAGTAAAATGCAAAATACAAAAGCTTCTTCCAAAAGTCTATTGTGATCTAAATAAAATTAAAAAACTAAAGGAATGTAGCTCCATAAAAATTGATCAAAGACTTATGCTATAAGATATGTTGTTTTTTAAGATCCAGGCACAAATATTTTATACACAAGAAACTAAATAAAGAAAAAAGTTTGTTGGAGAATGCAATAAAACATAAAATTGAAACAATTAGGTATTTTAAGTCTAAACACTTATTTGTATAGACAATTGCAAATTAATCGATTGCATCATTACATCAATAAATGAAGTCTTTGTTTTAGCAACAATTACAGAAAATTATTTGAAACCTAAAATAGTTACTTTAAATTATTGAAAAATTGCATTATTTTCTATATAATAAATAATTAAGTAATAATATTTAAATTGTTTAATATAATTGTTATTGTTGTTGTTTGTTTTATTATTATTGGGGTTCTTATGTTTATTACTATAAATATTATTTTTATTATCATATTTATTATTCTTATAATTATTACCAATTATATATATAAAGATCTATACTTTTGGTGTTTACTTGATATTAGTAGAATTACTATTTGTAAATATCCATGAAATTATTTTTCAGAATATATATATATATGATATGATATGTAGTTATGTCAGAATTAGACAACAATAAAGATTTAAATTTAGGACCTGGTGCTAAATGACTACTACTTCACGAGATAAAGAAAAGTGTTTCTTCTTTAGAAAAAAATTATCATACACCAACAACATTTCATTTTGGCGAAATGTTCACACCAATAATCCCCACTTAGCAGTGCTGACAAAGAAATATTTTAGCATTCCAACTTCTAGTGTATCCAATATCCAACTTCAGTGGAGTCAATGTTTTCAACAACTGGATTAATTCTGAATTCAAAAAGAAATAATTTAAGTTCTTCCAACATGAACATGAATCTCTTTATTCATGACAATATTAGCTTTATTTGATTTTCAATTTATAAAAAATCAAAAAGATTTTATTTTAATTTAAAATTAAACTTTTTTGTTTTTATCAAAAACATTACATTTCTTAGGTCGAGCAGTACCAGCTAGTTCAAGTCAATCAGCTTTTAGTCATCATTTATAACTGCTAGCCAGCAAGTTTTATGTTCTAAGCAAGGCTCTAACCTCTAGTTACGATGTTGTGACAAGGTGGGTGGGTGGTGGGTGGTTGGTTAATGAAAGGAGTTAAAAAATGGTTAAAATTACGTGACATAATTTGTGGACAACCCCTAGGCAGACCCCCAAACTGTTAAATTTAAATATTCAAAATAATCATTTGAATTTATTAACCACTAAATTATTTTTAAAAATACAACTGTTTAATAGATTTTTTTTTTTTAAATTGCGCATGACAATTTAGTTGTATAACTTGTTAAACCAGAAGCGTTGCTGAGGTAACAAGACATGTTGTCAAGGTAACAATGAATAACATTTTTTCTCTTGGAGGTAAAGGTGGTGTCCTATGTTGTTGTTATTTTTTGCAAAGTAAAAGTTGTCTAAATATTGATAAGTTTTTAAAAAAATACAAAACAGTATGGCAGAAAGATTTCCAAAAATCATCTCTTTATAAGAACTATATTTTTCGTAGAAACTTAGAAATTTATTCTTATCATCACTTTACTGACATGTATGTACGCTTAATTTAAAATAAAAAAATAATTATCTTACTTATGGATTAAAATTACATAATGTTATATGAAAAATTGAAAATAAGAATATAATACTTTGAAATTAAGGAGATAATTTTTTGAAATAAAATCATTCTAACATACTGTTTAGTATTTATTACTTACTTATAAATTGTTTAACTAAGTTAATTACATTAACTTAGTTAAACAATTTTAATTTTTACTTTTGCAAAAAACAACATAGAACACCACCTTTAACTCCAGAAGAAAATATGTCATCCATCATTACCATGACACACTGCCCTTCTTGTTTAAATAATAATAAATACTTAGAATTTTAAAGTTAATTTTAAATAATTTGTTGACAAAATGCCACAACTACGCTTTAAATATTGAATGCTGAACTTTGAATAAATTAATAAATTAGGATAAAATAATTATATAAAATAAAAATACAATTTAGTTCTTAACTTGAGTAAACTTTAGTTTATGTTTTAATTCAAAATCACATTGTGTATCTAAGATTACGCTAAGAAATTACCAGGTGGGAGTCATCTACTAAATTCTGAAACTAAAAAACAAACTGTTTTACTTATATATTTAATATTATCTACTTACTTTATACTCTCTGTATTCTCGTTCTTTGGGTATTCTATCTTCTTTTTGCACTTTCCTAAAAAAAAAAAAAAAAAAAAATCTTAAATAAAGGTAAATAAGTATTTATATCTATTTATATCTTAGATAGCATAAATTAAACTATATTAAAAAAAGTGATAATGTGAAAAATGTTCTGTTGATAGATAACTGTTAATAGCTGAATATAAATTTATGATACAGCTTTATTTTTTTAGCCAACAATATGAAATTAAATATCAAGATCTTTACAGGAATTGGTAATGTAAACTATACCTAAGAGAATTATCACATGAATTTTTATTAAAAGCTTTTATCAAAAGCTGAAGCTTTAGCTAAATGCTGAAGCTTTAGCTGAAGCTGATCCTTTAGCTACATTAGCAACCATTTTTACTTTAGTTTTTTGATCAACATCATTGTCAAATAAAGACAAAACAGACACTTCATCTGTCAAATACCATAAATACTAGCAAAACTTCTGTAAAACTGCTTTGGAAATAATTTTGTCTATTGTTTTGCAAGCTTTCATGGACTTCAAAAAGTTTAAGTCCTGCTTTTACTGCTAAAACGCATTGGAGCCAGAGTTTGATGAAGAATGTCACAATAAACAGACAGACATCCAAGAGAGCTGCCTTATCCTTGTTTGAAATTTTGAATTAGGAACTTAGTAATGATATTTTTAATGAATAAATGGCTCTTGCCATCCACCCAGTTTGGTGCATAGACCCTGGAGGCAGAATCTTAAATTTCTTATCTGTATCTCTACCAAAAATATTATCAAAAACTCAATTAATTCACAAGTCATCTCTAGTTATTTCTTTAGTCAATTTAAACCTAGCAGCTTATTAATTTTTGAAATATTCAAACAAGCTTTTCTCTACAGATTTGTTTTTTTTGGCATCAACATTTCTCCAGTTTTCTCAGGACTTTTTAAACAACGAAATGTCTGGGCTTATAGTTACTTTCCTGATTTTTGCTTCATACACACTTTTTAATACTAGTTCATATATGTAATGACGGCAAGTAAAAATAAGCATATCTTTATCCAGTTTTTGTTGAGTAGCACATATACACCGTTAATATGACCTGTATTTGAAACAGTAATATTACACAGAGAATCTGCACTCTGTCCTCAAGATTCCAGTTGATAATGGCATTCCAAACAGCGTGTGTCTGTTCACTTCCTGATAAGCTGTCCAATTTTGGCACAGCGATAAGTTGTTTGCTATCACTATATTAAATAAATATTTAAAGGCTTTCTTATTTAGATTTATGTGAATCTAGAGTTGGCAATAGTTTTCCATCCCTGTGTTCAGGGATATTGTTTTGAAAATTCAGGGATATTGTTTTGAATCAGGGATATTGTTTTGAATCAGGGATATTGTTTTGAAAATTAACTTTTATAGCTTAAGCTTGCTCTTTTTGCATTTCTGAACTTCTATAGGCAAGTCCTCAATACATTTCTGTATAATGAGATCATATATATTATATAAATAAATTTTCTATAAGCAAGTTCTCAATACATTTCTGTATTGAGGACTTGTATTGACAGCAAAACCTAAATTAGTCTCACAAAGAGCAAGTAGGTCTGGTGAACATTGTAAGAGATCAACAGAACTCAACAGAAGAAAAGTTACTTTAAAGACCACGAATATTAGTGAATGATAGGTTTGGAAAACTTAGTGATGACAGTGGCTTTTTGTGTTTTATAACTTTTGTCCAAGTCCAGTAGGAAATACATTTATATCAAAACTAAATTCTTTGTGTACATAGTCTCGAACTAGTGTCACCAATGATAGTATACTACAAAGAGATTAGTTTTCCATTTTATTACAGTGGCAGAAGCAAACTGAATCTCTGGATTCATTATGATTTTTTTTCTTGAAAGATCAGCCCTTTGGTATGTAATATTTAACTTAAGTTTTTAAAATAATATTATATTTTTTACTAATAAAAATAAATGTTTATAAAACAAAAATGTTATAAAATGTAGTTATAAAATTGTTATAGTTATACAAATTTTAACAGTTAGTATTTCCAAACAAGTCATCAACTGCTTTAAAATTAGTGAAACTACTAAAGGTATTATTATATATCAAGTTAAGTAACACACAAGTAACACACAAGTACACACAAGATAAAAAAAAAAAATTTCATGTGGGTTTCTATAATATTTATATAATATAATAAGAGATAGCTAAAATAATAAAAATTAAATTTTACAATTTCGAAATCCATTTCAGATTTCGGAAATTGTAAAATTTTGGATTAAGAAGGAATGTTTAGCATTTTATTTTTAACACATTCCAGCTTGTACCTATACATAATACAGAATCTGAAGAAAAACATCAGGTCTTATAAAATACAACCTAAAACCCTTAGAATCAAAGAGTGTTAGGTAATGATTTATTTGGTACGTATGCCTTTTCTCAGATAATAATACGCTCATGAATAAGATAAGGTAAGTAAGATAAGTACTTTGATTGACACCTAAATTCACTTTACAAATATTATAAAACAAAACTCCCATTACTTGCTTTAGGTCTCCTATTAAAAATATTTTAGAACTTTTTAACTCCACTGACATGTTGACTACTCAAAAGTAACCCATTTATTAATAAAATAAACAAGAAATAACAAGCAAGTGATGCAAGATTTCCGCCGCACATACAAGTTTCGCTGCAAGTCGGCAGGGTTTATTGTGATTCTAAGTACGCAAAACTTTATTTTTAAATGTTTTGAGACCATTAAAACAAAATAAGAGTGCATGCATTAAAAAATATCACTTTACTTTTTTTGGGACACCGTAATACATATTACATATATATATATATATATATATATATATATATATATATATATATATATATATATATATATATATATATATATATATATATATATATATATTTATATTTATATTTATATTTATATATATATATATATATATATATATATATATATATATATATATATATATATATATATATATATATATATATATATATATATATATATATATATATATATATACTAAGCCACTGCCTACAAAATGTTTTTTTTTAAAATCAAAGAGTCACCCTGGGATTTGTGTATTGCAGTGTTAGTAACACAAAAAAATCACTTTTTTTTTTTTTTAATTACATTCTCTTTGGGAAATTGGATTGAATAATCACATTTTTTTCAATTTTCAGCTATTTTGATATGTTTTGTAGCTTATTTTATAGATGTCTAAAGGATCGGTTTTCTATTTTTGGGGGATGATGCAACACATTTTGGTGGCATACAGATATAAAGGGTTTTTGAGTTTCTACAGTAAGTTGAAAAAAAAAGTTTTAAAGATAAAAAACAGAAAAATCAAAGATTTCAAAAACACATCAAAAACTAAGATTTACCAAAAGGTATAATAAGTTTAATATACACGTATTTTAGTCATTATAAATAATTGTTAAGTTACTTACATTAAAAAAAAAAAAAGTTTTATTAAGAAGTTTATGACCGCTTGGAGGCCCCTAAATTGTGAAGCCTTGGTGCATTTCCCCCACTGCACCCCTTTCTCCTCCTAGAAAAAGCGGTCCTGGGGGTCTATGTAATTAGGAATTTTATGAACTAAACATTGATTATTGCCTACAATTAATATTTTATTCAGCAATCAAAAACTTACAAACATATAACTAAAATATTAGACATTCATTTTATTAAATAGTCACACTTTCTTACGTTTCTTTTATTCTCTTTTTGACTTTGGTTTTTTGTCAAAATGAATTTTACTGCTCTATCCACAGATTGAGAATTGTTTGGCATGTCAATTATAAAGAGTTTTAAATTTTATTCAATAGCCGTTCTAAGATTTTCAGACGTTATGCTAAGAGTTGTTGGGGGTTCAACCTGAATGTCACCAACAGAAACAAGATAGCCCCAAGAATCAGCATCAAAATTTATTTTCATTATAGATTTCAGCTTAAGATTTGTTTTAAAACTAATGTCTTCCTTCCATGCTCTTATTTTTAGCATTCGGTTGAGGGTTTGGTTTCTTATATTTGGATTTTCATCCAGCAGCATGCAGTACAGAAAATTTTCTTGCAAACAACAATATGAGTTTCCTTGTAAGTTCTTAAAAATGATGCTCTGAATCCTGGTATCTTGAAGCTTGACTAATTGAATGGTTTTGTAAAGAAGTTGACAAGAATCTTTGTATTTTCCAGAACGCTTAATAGCAAACCACATTACACAATATACTTGAACAATATATTTAGTTATTACTAATAACTCAGGAGATGGTTTATCAGTCCTAACATAAACCATCATTATTCTAAGAGCCAAAGTTAGCCATCTAGCTTGACAAACTGGCCCAGGTTTTTTTGTTAAACAATAACAAATGTTAACAAATAACTCTATTTCTGACTGTATAGGAATAAATTCAACCAATGGCTGTTCATGAAGAGTTTGATTAAATGCAGCATCTCCAATTGTAAGACTTAGGACCAATTGTGTTCCCATCTAATTCACATATAATGTGTCTCAGTGAGAGTTCAACTTGATGCAGCAATTGTCAATTTTTCCATTTATTCGAATAACCTTTAATTCTTTAACATCAGCGTTGTGTTTAGAACTTATGATGCTGGTGGTTCTTTTTTTTTCACCAAAAACTTTTTTTTCTGTTGTTATTTGTGATTTATCACACTTTTTTACAACCCCATAGTCTATTAACACAGCTGTTGCTAGTGCAGCTGCTGCAGCATCACTTATTTCAAACCATATAGAAGCCTTTGCCAAGTTTGTTAAATGAGTATAATTTTTTTCAACTGGAACATCTATAGAAAAGTCTGAATCAGATTCAAATTTATTATTGTTATCAAATAACTCAGCATCCAGATCGGAATCGTATTGAACTTCCACAGCTAGCGACTTAATAGATCTTTTTATTTCTTCACAAGTTTCTTTCTCTTTCTTTCTTTTTTCTCTGGCAGCTGTTGTTTTATCAACTGTACCAATTTGAAATCTTCCTCTTGTTCCAACTTTTGATTTTTGATCTTTTAAATATTCTCTATCCAATGGTGGAACCTAAATTTTAAACATTTTTTAACAAGATGTTTTAGTAGCTCAATAATAAACTTTTTAAAATCAGTATAAAATATTTTCAAAATTTCTTAAAAACTTAGGAAAATCACATTTTCAAACCAATTATTAGGGTTTTTTATACTAATAATAAATCAAAATAACTTTTGCAAGAAAAGTTTTATTTTACTCCAACATGTATTTTATTGTTACTATAGTAACATGTTATTGTTACTATCAGATTCAAAGCCATCCAACTTACTACAGATTAACTGAATTAAATATATTATAATATTTTAAAATTTAAATTGTTTACCTTTTTTCTGCTTTCACATAAACAAGCAAAGTGTGTTGTTTTGCAATCCAAAGGTTTCTTACAATTCACAGATCTATACATAAAAATACTTCAAAATTTTTAAAAATATTTTGAATTTAGTGAAATAATTTCAATACTACTTTTATAAAAAGCATTGCAGAAAAACTGAAAACAAAAACATAATAATAAAAATATAAAGTGATGTAAAATTATCCAAAAAGTATTTTTTTAACTTAAATATCATATTAAGTTATATGCAACTACTTGTATTCAGTTCTGCACAAATATTTAGCTAAAAATAAATATTGAATAAAAAAATAATTTGAACATTTCTCTAACCTATTATTGGAAGCTACAACTAGAAGTCCACAACCACAAAAAGACAAATCAAACAAATGCTCAAAGTTGTTATTAAGATATTTCTTGTTTTTGTTTGCATTTTTTCACTTTCCTTCAGCAGATAGCACTCTCTTAAGAAGTCTAGAAAATTTTTTGGCCACTGACTTCTCATGGATCAGAGTGAGCCTAGGATTCACTTTACTACACAGACTGATCAACTCATTTGTCACTTTTGAAATTATCTCTAGAGAACAAATACTTGGCACATGTTTTTACTAATGAGATATCAATATTGAATCACCTGTCTGTAGTTTGGAAGATCGCTTATTGGAAGCTCTGATAGCAAACCAGCATACATCTTGCTTTCATTACAAGTCCTTAGGTTTTTTATTATTTTAGGCATTTTCCTTCATACACACACACACACACACATACATATATATGTATATATATATAATATATATCTATAATATATATATAGATAAATAATATATATACATACATATATATATGTATATATATATATATATTTTATATATATATATATTTTATATATATATATATATATATATATATATATATATATATATATATATATATATATATATATATATATATATATATATATATATATATATATATATATATATACTTTATTTTTAGTCAGGAATCATATTTTAAAAGGTTACATAAAAAATAGTAAGGAAAATTAAAATAGAAAGAATGTAAAAACGAAAGTTGAGTTCGTAGTTCTAATTATGATTTTTTTGTCAAAAAAGTTCGTAGCGCCCCTTGTCCTTCAAAACAAATTACTTTAAGTCAAATCCCTAAACAGCCATCAATTTTTTTAAATTTATATTTGTTGGAATTTATTTATTTATAGTGTAAAAACATTTTACAGGGTGACTCTTATTAAATCTCAATACTGGCAGTGGCTTAATATATATATATATATATATATATATATATATATATATATATATATATATATATATATATATATATATATATATATATATATATATATATATATATATATATATATATATATATATATATATATATAAACTGTAGTTTTAAAGAGCGCGTTAATAAGCCTGACCAAAAAATGTTAAAAAACTTCAAAAAGATTTTTTTTTTTTTAAATGATAGACTGCCTGCCCAAACCAAACCCTCAGTCGATGTAGCAGCACTCCCTTGCGAGTCAGGCTATTTGTTAGTCAATGTACCAGCACTCCGTTGCGAGTCAGGCTATTTTTCAGTCAATGTAGCAGCACTCTGTTGCGAGTCAGGCTATTTGTCAGTCGATGTAGCAGCACTCTGTTGCGAGTCAGGCTATTTGTCAGTCAATGTAGCAGCACTCCCTTGCGAGTCAGGCTATAAGATAGTGGATGTAGCAACACTTACGCATGTTTTAAAAATGTTTTTTTAATAAAACAAAAACAAAAACACTACTAATTAAAAAAAACTTTCTAGTCATTATTATTGCGGTTTTTTTTAAAAAACAATAAAATTTAATGTACTTCCACATTAATTTAATTGCTTTGACATTTCAATGACAATCAAATACAGCTTAAGAGCCGAGGTAATAAAAATTGTAGTCGAAAGAAACTTTTTTTTACCACTCTTTCGACTACACTATAACTCGACTACACTATATATATATATATATATATATATATATATATATATATATATATATAAATTCAATTTAAAAAGACTTTTGTTAGATTAAAAAGAAGAACCACTAATCATTTTTGAAAAATTGAATATGAAAAAATGAATATGAAACATGTGCTTAAATAATTTTACTAATAGCTGAAAATGTTGTTTTGTTGCAAACAGGATATGATTTCATTTTACTTCACTTAATGGGTATTTTAGTAGTACATATATTAAAAACATTTTTTAGGAGTACATATATATAAAAAACATTTTTTTTAAATTTCAATTCTTGCAACTTTCTATTTTTTTACAAAATTAGTTAATTTTGTAAAGAGCTAATTTTATAAAAAGCAATCAACCCCCAACACGTCCCTGACAGTACCACACTCAACTTGTTTCTCTGCGCAGCGGCCTTGTTTGTGAGGATTCGTGTTTCAGAGTGATAGAGTTAAAAGAGGTGTTGTGACCACAGCTAAAAATAGCCTCCTTGACTGTATTGGCCTTCATTTTTAATTCACCTCTTGGGAAAGTGAATTGAATTTTTTTAAAAAATGGAAATTTCTAAAATTATTTAAATATATAGGCTCCTGACACCTGTCAAAGAATCAATATTTCACATCGCTTTGTGTAATGGTTGTATTCAGAGTAGGAGTTTTGCTAAAATTTAAAATGATAAAAAGAAACCACTGGCTGGCGTAAAAAAAATATCTTTAGATGGTCAATGGTGAGCCCTATGTCGTCAATGAAAAGAGTTTAGATTTAAGAACAGCTACCAGTTCTAAAGCATTAAAAAGTGATTTTTTGTCAAAATAGGAGTATATGGTTGTCAAGCAAACAGAGCCACTTTAGATGTAATATTATTATATAAATAATATAAAATAAAAATAATACAGGTCTAAGGATAGAACTTTGTGGTACCCCAGAAATTACTGGAAATAAAAAAGAGTGTTGATCTTTGAGAATAACTGTGGTTAGAAATAAATAACTTAATAATCTTAAAAACTTTCCCAGATACACTGTAAAAAGCGACCTTATAAAGAAGAACAGCATGATATTATAAAAAACTTTTCATATTCAAATTTTCATAGTGATTTTATTGCTACTGCTGCAAAAATGTAGTGATTTTGGAGCAATCTCATTTTTGCTAACTCATCATTCAGTGCAACATCATTTTTGCAACATCATTTTTACTCATCATCAACATCAACCTCATTTTTGCTAACTCATCATTAAATCCTTTTATTATATCAGTCCTTTCATGCACTAAAAATTTATATTTATTTAGTTTCTTTCTTTTAACGTGCTTTTCTCATCATGTTTTTCTAGACTCATAAATTTACAGTATTTTAAGTCTTTTGTTAATCATTTCTCTTTAATGATACTCTTTGTTTTTTAGTAATGCACAACTTAAATAGTGATTGTATTAAGCCTTGTTAAGATTGAATTAGTTTTAAAAAAAGGACATTATATATATATATATATATATATATATATATATATATATATATATATATATATATATATATATATATATATATATATATATATATATATATATATATATATATATATATATATATATATAGATAGATATTTTTTTTTTAACTAAAATAAACAAGCAAATACATATTTTTTTTCAAAATAAGAAATGTTATTTGACAGACTTAAAATAAAAAAACCTGTGTTGGTCAATAAAAAATTTATCTTCAAACTCTTTAAGTAATTTTCCTAACTGTTTCTTTGCTCGTTTTGTTTCATTCTGTTGCTCAATAAGTTCCGATCTAATTTATAAAATAATTCTTTAATAATTGTTAATAATTTATAAAATAATTCTTTAATAATTGTTTATAATTTATAAAATAATTCTTTAATAATTGTTTATAATTTATAAAATAATTCTTTAATAATTGTTTATAATTTATAAGTTAATTCTTTTTAATAATTGTTTATAATTTATAAATTATTTCTTTAATAATTGTTTATAATTTATAAATTAATTCTTTAATAATTGTTTATAATATTAAATAAAAACAAGCTCTACATAACTTACAATAAACTTACAATACTTAGGTCAACAAAACTTACAATGTTGCATCATACAAAATTGATTCACTGACGTGATTTTTTTTTATCGCAGGTGAAGCATCGATAAACTTTTTTGTGACATTCAATGTTTCTCCTGATGGATCAACTCTTTCATTAACACCAAGGCACCCTGAATTTTCATTGCTATTCAAATAATGTCCATTTTCAAAAAATTCTAAAAGATCAAATATTTTTGTTAAACTTTTATTGCAACATTAAAAAAACTAATAATGCTAATTATAAAAAAAAGGGAATAAGCAATAGAAACAATAGTACAACCATAAATATTTACTGGTTATTTTGCATAATTGATTGCATGTACTACTTAAAATCATTTTTCATAAGTTTTAAATATTGAATGTAGTAGACAATAGCTTACATCATTATTTATATGTAGACATGAAATATGATTTTTACATAATGAACAAATGAATATTTATTAACTTCATACTGACAACACTAAAACCTTATTCCAAATTCATTAAAGAAAATAAAAGAAAACAGATAAAATAAAATATTATCACTAATTCTTTCAAATCATTTTTGTCAAATAAAATATTATTGAGCAAAATTTAAAAAAATTATTATTGTATAATTCTTAAAAAACTCATAACTCTGATTAAAGCCCACCATCTTATTTGTATATTTCCATAATCGTAGAAATAATTTGTAATTAATTCTACTAATAAGATCATGGAAATCTTATTAGTAGAAATAATTACAAATTATTTCTACTAATTGCAATTGATTGATCTTTTTTGAAACACATTCATTAATTCTAAAAAGCTTCAATATAGTTGACCACATGATTCTAAACAAAAAGATATTGCACTCTGACATACAAAGTGTTGCATATGATTGGGTTTCATTGTTTACTAAAAATCCTAATGATTTGTTTCAACATAACTTTAGATTAACAAAATTGTCAAATATACTGTTTCACAAGTTTTGATCTTGACCCTTACTGTTTTAAAAATATTAATAGTTAATCTTACTCTATAATCTTACTGATATATGAGGAACCTTGCCGCCAGACCGTATTTTATAAAAGAAGAAAAATTCGCAACGCATGTTTTCAACACAAGTAGAGACAATGATTAACTATGTGCTTAGACAATGGTAGCTTTGACTGGCACTAAAGGTGTTTAAAGCACTGGATAAAAATCATCAAATTATAAAATATAATTTTCCTATAATTTTCTTTAGAGTAGTATCAGAAATCATGCTACCTATTGCCAGACAGTTATTATGGTGGCAACCTCTTGACAGAAACCCTTAAACCTTAAAAAATTGTAACTATACTTTATAATATAAAAGTGGATATTTATAGAGCTTAATTGGGTAACTATTAGAAGATGTTTCCTCATTAGCTAGACACTTTCTACAGTTCTAACTCCTAGCCAGACAAGCATATATATTAGCATTATAGTTGGTTTTATATATGAAAACATTAGAGTGAAAACCTTAGTTACCTAACTTAACTGGTAATAATTGCATAAAAAAGTATTGGTTTCTATATTAATAACTGTTAGATTCTAAGATAAATTTAAAAGGTGGTTAAATAGCTATATTTTTTCAAGACAATGGTATTAACCATAAGAATTCTAGAGAAAACCATATTAAAAATGTGCTATTTCCATTCATTCATTTAATTCAGTTGATGTCACTTTAAAAATATTTAAAGTAATACAATTAATAATATAAAATTATGTATTAAGTATTAAATTAGGCTTTTAATAAAATAATCTTTTACTGCTTTTTTTTAATTTTATTTATTTGACTGTTTTATTAAGAATTTGAGACTTAAAGATTTTTATAGAAAACCCTTTATAAAATAAGTTTGGTAAACATGGGATTTTACACTATGATAATTAATGCATCCAAAAATGGTATATTATTCAATACTAGTATTTCTTTACTGAAAAGTTGTAATACCTGTAATACCAGTATTATACAGGTACAAAAGTTTTTAAAAAAATTGAAATTGAAAATGTCAAAAAAAGTTTAAAAAAAATTGAAACTGAAATGTCAATAAGTTTAAACATAAAAATTTACAGTAAACTTTTTATTATATATAAAAGTTATTTTTGCATTTTCTGCAATATTGTCTTTTGCAAAACAAAAGGCAATCAAAGTGTTATCTTTCAAGTTAAGATCAAGAAATAATACTAACATTGAGAAAATGTTCTCATTTGCCAAAAATCTGAGGTATAATTTGCTACTTGAAAATATAAAGTATAATTTGCTATTTAAAAATCTCCGGAATAAATTGCCACTTGAAAATTCATGGAATATTTAGTCACTTGAAAATCCACGATAACATTTGCCACTTGAAAATCAATAGTATAATATGCAACTTACAAACCCACGGTATTATTTGTTGCTTGAAAACATACAGTATAAATTGACACGTTTGAGCAAACGTCTTGTACAAACTTGTCACTTATAACAGTTGAAATTTATGTACAATGCAAAACTATTGATCACAATTGCTTAGGCATCTTGCTTTCTTCATTATGTGGGCTCCATTAGTAGTACTGTAAACAATGCCTTTATCTTTATTTAGTAAAAACTGCTGATTAATGAACCAACAATTTAACAATCTAATAAACCAACAATTTAACCATCTAATGAACCATCTATTTAACTATCTAATGAACTAACAACTCAAACATTAAGGGGTAAACAGATCATATCTTTTGACCAGCCTCTCACCCCTTCTTTATCTATTAGTCTGGAGCAGATGTATTTATAAGATATTGTTACCAATTTAGGATGTTGAATGCTGGATCTTCTTGACTCAATGCATGGATTTAGCTTGTGCCTTTGTTTTTATGACTAGGCAACTTATTCTATTATATCCTAATGAGTGTACAGCTCTAAAATTCAATTTAATGGTTCTGAGGCCAGCTGGTAGTCAGGTTTCCAGAACTCTTTTGTAGCTCTCAGAGAGGCTGATTCCATCAACAGCTGTAAAAAATCAGAGTACTATCTGTACCATGTTGCGCATGGATGGTGTCTCTGTTTGTACTTTTGGTGTGGATTGTCGAGACCACATTTAGAGGCCTTTGTTATGGCTTAGGGTTTATTAACAGTAATAAGGCAATTGCTTGGACTATTAAATAGTGTACTGATTGCTATGCTTTGAGAAAAGTTCTTTAACCAATTTAAAAATTACTAAAGTACCAAAAATTATAAAACACAAAAAACCATCGACATCACTAAGTTCTCTAAACCTTTCATTCACTAATATTCGTGGTCTTCGAAATAACTTTTCTTTTGTTGAGTCTTATCTTTTGCAAAGTTCACCAGACCTACTTGCTCTTAGTGGGACTTATTTGAGTTCAGCTGTCTCATCTTGTGATCTTAGTGTTGATGGTTATCTTCCTTTAATTCATTAGGACTCCAATAGTCACATGTTTGGCCTGGGCATTTACATTTGTTAGAATTTACCAACATGTCAGGAAACTAGGTTTTAATGCACTAACTATTTTTTATGTGTTTTTGTTTAGCACCACTTCAATTTATTGCCATTCTCTTTGTTCTATATCCCTTTCCATCATCTCAAGACTGCACTCTTTTCGATTTTATTTCTGATCAAAATAAGCAACAATTCTTTATACTTTAGCCAATATCGTTATTGTTGGTGACTTTAATGCCTATTATACTGAATGGCTTGGCTTTAGTGTAAGTGACTATACAGGCATTAAGACACACAACTTTTGCTTTTTTAAATCTCTAACTTGAAAATTTAACTTTTCAAACTCAATCATTTACCTTCTCTACTTGACTTGTGTCTTGTTTCTGATCCTAGTCAGTGCTCAGTATCAACATTATTAAAAGTGTCTATTATAAGAGCAAATCTGTTATTCCACCTATCTTGCATGGTTCAGATTTTGTTACCTCACCTAAAGAAAAAGCTGAATTTTTTGCTTAGAACTTTTAATCAATATCATCTCTTAATTCGATTAGTTTAGTTCTACCTGATATAGCCAACAAACAGGTTGATCCATTGCTTGCAATTCGTATTACTCCAACTTCTGTATCTAACGTGATTCCCTGCATAGCTTTTCTACAGCTTGTGGTCAAGACAACATACCTGTTTTAGTCTTGCAGAAGTATTCTCTGGAGCTGTCGTCTATAATTTCAAACTACTTGACAAGTGCTTATCAGAGTCTTATGATCTAGTCTGCTCGAAAGCGGCATCTGTTATTCCTATTTTCATGAATTTCTGGAAAGCAATATGACTTGTCTAACTATTGTCCCATTAGTCTTCTTCCTATCATAAGCATGGTTTTTGAATCTTTAATTAACAAACACTTAATACCTCATCTTGAATCTAATAACTTACTTTCTGATCATCAGAAACTAAAAAGTTTTTTTAAATAAAAAGTTTTTTATAAAAACTAAAAAGTTTTTTTAAATAAATTTTACAAGATGTTACTAAAATTTATTTACATACTATCGTATAACATACATTATTTACACACCATCATATAACATACATTATTTACATACTATCATATAACATACATTATTTACATACTATCATATAACATACATTATTTACACACTATCATATAACATACATTATTTACATACTATCATATAACAATATAAAATAGATTTCGATCTTCTCATTGCTAATTGTTGAATAAAGCTGATTTCCTGATTTTAATGCTAATGTTGCTGATTTAAACTGATTTTCGTTGCTAATTAAAGCTGATTTGCTAACACTAATAACTGATAGGTTTTATCATGCATCAGATAGATGTGGAGAGGTTTCTAAAGCTTTTGTTAAAGTTTGGCATGCTGGTCTTTTTCATAAGCATTTTTTTATTGTGTATCAGATAAAAAAATTTTATCGTATATAATTTTGTGTTTGCAATAAGTATATCAAAAAGTCAGTTTCCTAAGATCACTCTTTCATTGTAAACTTTTAGAGTTATTTCTAGCAGTTATTTTGACCAGTTATTTTGACCATAGCCAAACTCTTATCTCCTCTAATAACATGGTCAATCATTTAAAGATGTGATGCAAAAAAAAGAGGTATATGCTGGTTTTTGCTTGCTAGTTAACCAGCATTCAGTTCACGTGGCATCTAATAACTAAACTGGAAGGTCTTTCCTATTTCCTGGAAGTTTTATAGTACAAATCTGAGTTCACATGGAAAAGTGGTATCTTATAGTATACATCTAGGTTAGAAAACAAATCCAAGTTAGCATGCAGCAAGTTTTGAGACACATCTGTTTGGTGACAATCTAAATGTATTTATAGTGCTATTAAAAGTTGTAATAAACATATTTGTAATTGTTCTAATAATTAGTGCCATTTGTAATTTTTCTAAAAACTTGAAATCCTAAAAAGACGTTTTTCAGTACATCTGCACTTCAAATTGTTTAGTTCATTTCGCCTAAGAACTAAAAAGTTTTTTTAAATAAATTTTACAAGATGTTACTAAAATTTAATTACATACTATCATATAACATACATTATTTACATACTATCATATAACATACATTATTTACACACTATCATATAACATACATTATTTACATATTATCATATAACATACATTATTTACATACTATCATACAACATACATTATTTACATACTATCATATAACATACATTATTTACATACTATCATATAACATACATTATTTATACACTATCGTATAACATGCATTATTTACACACTATCATATAACTATTTTAGTAGTTTTTTAGTAGTAAGATCAACAGTAAAGAAGAAACTAAACTAAACGTGTTAAAATTTTTAGTGAATGTTTAAGATGTGAAGCAATTTAAAAAAAAATGTTAATATTTATATATATTACTAATGACATAAATTAAAACTAAAAAAAAAGTTTTCAACTTTCAATTTCTAGTTTTTAATACTTAACTAAGCATTAGAAACTAGATCAATAAACTATGCATTCTGAAACTTCATTGACGATGAAAACTTGTGATAATTAGATGTTTAATGATAAAAAAAAATAATAATGAAAAAAGTTTTTGAATACCACCAAAATTTGAATACCACATAAGTAATGATGAAATGTGTTAAAAAAATATGAAGAACTTTTGTTATATTATGAATTTGCTTTTATTCTTTTATTTGAGTTTATTGTGAGTTATTTTGAAGAAAAATTAGAAAATAGAAATAAAAAATAATGTAAAAAATAACTTTCAAATTTGTTGCAAAACAACAAAAATGGTTGCCAATCTATATTCTCTTATTTTTTAAACGATTTAAACTCTTAAACTATTGGCAATATAGGAAAACTTTAGAAAAAAATAAACATGGCACACATTTATCAAAGGGCATCAAGCTTGTATCATCAGCCATTTTAAATACGATTTCTATCTTGGTTCCAGTTACAATTGGTGTTTTATGTTTTTTTTAAATATATTAATTATTTCTTTTACTATTCAAAAATTCAGCAGATATATGCACAGTCAAGATATCATTCATCGGCATAGCAGATATATGCACAGTCAAGATATTATTCAATAGCATAGCAAATATATGCATAGTCAAGATATTATTCATCAGCATAGCAGATATATGCACAGTCAAGATATTATTCATCAGCATAGCAGATATTATTTATTGGCATAGCAGATATTATTAACTGGTATAGCAGATATTATTCATTGGCAGATAAATAAAGTCAAGATAAAAGTAAATTAGTTTATAAATAAAAAACTTTAAGATAAGAAAAGATATTATTCATTTGCATAGGAGATATTATTGATTGGCATAGGAGATATTATTCATCTGCATAGCAGATATTATTCATTGGTCTAGCAGATATTATTAACTGGTATAGCAGATATTATTCATTGGCAGATAAATAAAGTCAAGATAAAAGTAAATTAGTTTATAAATAAAAAACTTTAAGATAAGAAAACCAGTTTTTTGGTATCTTATACAAAATCTTCAGAAACCTCAAAAAGTCTCAGCTTCTCAGAAACCTCAAAAAGCCTCAGTTTCTTCTCAGAAACCTCAAAAAGCTTCTTGCCATCTGACACATGCTCTAGCATAAGTCCCTCTCAAATTTACAGTTTAAGCTCAGTCATTTTATTTAAACAAAACTTTGTAAAACATCTGTTTCATAAAGCACTTATTATGTTATCAGTGCTGGTTCATAAAGCACTTAATATGTTATCAGTGCTGGTTCATAAAGCACTTATTATGTTATCAGAGGTTTAAAAACACAAGAAGTAAAAGAATTTTATTCAACAGGATAACTTTAAATGATGATTAAGTAAACTTTTCAGCTTTTTACAAACTTTTGTGCACATTACATATTTTTACATGTAGTGATTTTTGAAATTCTCTACTACTACATACATCAAAATGTCTTGGTCACAATCCAGCTTATATAAAAATGTCTTGGTCACAATCCAGCTTTTATAAAAACATCAAAGCTTAATTTTACACAGCATAATTTTATTAGAATATAAAAAGCTGGTGTCAGACATAAAAGTTTGGTGTTATTCTTTACCTAATTTGAAATTCAAAGCAGCCTAATTTTTCAATAAATACTTTCATTTTGATCTTTGAGTAATTTATTTTTCCATAAGTAAACTTATATTGCACCTTAGAAAATGTAAATATTTCAAATTAGTAACACTGTATTATTTTTATTATTTTATTATATTTAAAAGTAAAAAGTTAAAACTTTGAAACAAAATCGTTTAACAAGTGTCATTAGATCTATTATAAGCTAAACACTTTTTTTTTCCAAAACTTTATAAAAACATATTTTATAAAAATGATAAGTCAAATACTTTAGAATTAATTCTCCAAAACTTAATAATAAAATATTTTCTTAATATGACAAACAGTTTTTTTTTTATCTTATAAAAACAAGTCACACCTTTATTTGAATCAAGATATGGTTGATAACTCGGTTGTCTTGGTGATAGAATGAACTCATTCTTAGAATGAACAGAAGCCTGTCTTTTTTCTTCATTAAAATTATTTATAAAATAATTGTCATTTTCATGTTGTAAGCCACTGTCTATATTCATCTGGTTAAAATCACTTTAAAAATAAAAAAAAGAGGATGTTATAAAATTATCAAAGCATTTCTGAGTATATAAGATAAAAAAAAAAAAATGGGTCTTACCCATAAATTGTTTTTACTGGCGAAATTATCTAAATTATAAGAACATAATAAATTTTAGTGAGGAAATACGTCTCTTTAAAAAATTCAAATTTTACATTATTTCTATTACTTTTCTATATTTCTACATGTGTTGAATTCAATTTTTCTCTCCACTCTGTATGTGTTAAAGACTTTTTATTAATTGTAATAATATATATATATATATATATATATATATATATATATATATATATATATATATATATATATATATATATATATATATATATATATATATATATAACAATGCAATAGAACATCTGTTATTGAAAAAATCTAGAATAAGTATTGTTTACAAAAAAATTAATTATCACTACTGAAAAATTAACTAAGGATTTAAAGGTATTTATATTATGTTTAAATAAAACTTTAAATTTGTTTTGTTTAGGTTTAATGTGAAAAGTGATTTTAAAATTGTAAACAATAATAACTGTTTCTTTTCTAGGATGTATTTTTTAAGCAGCGAAAAAGTTATATCTCAGATGTTGTTCATAAAAGTCTATTCTATATATTTATGAAAAAAATGCACATTTTTTGCCCATTTCTACATAAAGTTACTTTTCAAGTTCATATTTATTCATATATTAGATATTGCAAATATATGTTTAAATTGAGGTTATACATATATTAGATATTGCTTTTTTTTTCAAGAAACTAATTTTGTAAAAAAAAAATTTAACAACCTTAATTCAGCTTAACTGGAATACTTTAATAAAAAAAAACTGTTTAATTGATAAAAATTGAGGACTTTTGACAAAGGAACATTCACTAATAATTTGTATATTTTATATTTATAATAATTAATTATATATTTTATATTTCTCTTTGCAACTAAAATAATATAACTACGTTTTTTTAATTTTAAAGTTCTATAAAGTTATCATACATTTTTGTTCCTTTCAATTTAATAGCTTTACATTCTAAGGTTCACAGAAAGATTGTTTGCAAACTACTCTGAAAATTTTTGAAATTTTGAAAAATGAATATCATCAGATTTGGATGTCCAAATTAACTTTTTATGATCATTGCTGTGTGTGAGAAGAAGAAAAATAATTCTAATTTTCAAAACATGCTAGACAAAAGCATAAGAAAGTTAGTTAAACAAAAGAAACATTTGAATACATATGATGTTAAAAACCTCAACAATTATCATTAATTTTTTAACGTTTTTTTAAATCAAAGTTTTTAAATTTGTTATCTGCATTAAACACCTAAGTTATCTGCATTAAACATCTAAGTTATCTGCATTAAACATCTAAGTTATTTTAGATTTTTCAAGCACAATAAAAAAAGAAGAATAGTTTGTGTTGAAATTAATGAACTTTGATGGAGCAAGTAAACAAACCAAATAATAACAAACTAAGAAAATATGTTCCTCGTTTAGTTTATCTGAGTTAGCATTTGCAACTGAGACAAGTTTTTGGGCTTTAAGACAATGCCATCTTGACTTCAAGATCATGCCATGCTGTCTGAGAAACAAAGCTTTAAAAAATGTAGAGAAAAGCTCCAGTACAATGCATGACATTTTTTGCACACTTCTGGTTTCGTCAGAGTGTGAAATATCTTTGATAGTTAATTATTATGTCACAACAGAATTTTTTTTTTTCCTTTTCAAACTTTAAAATTGTTATTATCTTATGATTCAGAAAAGCATGCGTTTGCTTTATAATTTATGACTCAGAAAATCATGGGTTTGCTTTACAATTTATGACTCAAAAAATCATAGATTTGCTTTACAATTAATGACTCAGAAAATCATGTGTTTGCTTTACAATTTATGACTCAGAAAATCATGCGTTTGCTTTACAATTTATGACTCAGAAAATCATGCGTTTGCTTTACAATTTATGAAAGAAATATTAAAATGTGATGATTCCAATAATATTAAATGACAGTGATTGTTTACATAATAATATATACTAGCTGAGTGGACCCATAAAAATATGGGTTTTTGTAAGTCTATTCCACACCAACCTTTTCTACACTTTTTCCTTATATATATATCTAAGCTTTTTGGACCTGTAAAATATGGGTCTTTACCAAACCAACCACTTCTATACTTATCTATTCCACACCAATCATTTTTATACCTTTTTCTTGTTTACTTCAAAAAAAAATTTTAATCAATTAATTCTGAAGAATTGTTTAAAGAGCAAAAAAATCGCTTTAAGAGCAAATAAATTATGTACATCTTTTCCGCATATGTAGAGCTTATTATAGATTTATGATTAGGTTTGTTTTTCTCCTAATTGCTTATTATTGATAGCTCAGCGGTTTAGTGTGCTGTTATCAGCGTTATTTCAAGGGGTTTAAGACCTCCCCATAGCATAATAAATTTTGAAATTTTTTCAATCTTGTTTAGATTGTTAAGAATATAAAAGTTGAGCTTAAAAAATTTTGGGCATTGGCGTCAGTTTGTCAGTGACACCAGTTTGTCAGTGACGTTAGTTTGTCAGTAATGTCAGTGACGTCAGTTTGTGGCAAAAAAAAACTTTTATACTTTAAGTTTGCTTTTGCATTTATAATCTTATTTAATCTTATATTAATCTGAAAAAGCTGCATCTATCATAATTAATAGTCTAAGAAGATGAAAATGTAGAAGATGTAAATTTAGCAATCAGAAATTATTAAAAGAGGGGCAAATCTAAAATGGAAGTTTCAAATTTTCTACTTGGATAAGACAATATGTTTTGCGGCTTTTCAATCATATCAATTTCTTTTAAATACAATATCATAAATACAAAAATTCTGAAACAGCTTGAGCAAAAAAGTCTTGTAATTATTAAAAAAGTTTTTATATATTACACAAGTATAAAACTGTATAAAACATTATATAAGTGGTTTTTTTGCATTTGCAAATAACATATTTGTTTATTGTTAAACTATGTTATAATAGATACTGTGCAATAAAGCTGCACTTATTTAGAAAACCCACTTAAAAAGCGTTGATTAATTGCAATTAATATTAAACTTTATAAATTGGTTTGTTTTTCAATTACATGCATAAATTTAACAGATAAGTGGTTTAAAGTGTTGTCATCGTTTTGCGAGGGTTTAAGTCAGCCGCTTAACGCAATATATTTTCAATTTTTTCAATCTGGTCATATATATTAATAGCAAAAAATAAACAAAGCTAAAAAGACTATTAATTGTTAAAATAAAATTTAAAGTTTTTTCTAGCTACTGGCTTTTTTTTTTTTCCACAACAGCACTTTCTGAAGTAGCAGGAATGTCTTATTAAATTTTTTTTATATTAAATTTCAGACAAATCTTTTTTTTCTGACCATCTTATTAGAATTATCATCTTTTTTCAGACCATCTTATCATAATTATTAGCAGCTTATTAGAATTATCTGAGCACATTAATAATCTCAATCATGACACATACACAACAAATTTCTCCTGGTAAACTTTAAGCTTTTTTAAAAATCCTTTTGTTTGTTATAATGTATGATATCTTTATATGTGTTATGTATATAATATCTATAAAACTGCATAAGTGGTTTAGAAAAAATCTAAATAAATTTTAAAAAATTTCTCAATGATAGGATTTGAACCACAGCTTTTTTGTTCAGAAGCTCTGCGAACTAACCACTTAGCCATGCGGGCATATTGTCTAAAAAAATTGTAAAACTATATAATAAATAAAAGACTTTATAAAATGGCAATAAATCTTATAGATTGAAATTAAGGAGATGTTGCCGCAACGCAATTTTCAAGTGAAATTAAAACTGTAAAACTTGATGTATGTTTTAACGTTACATAATTTGAAGTTTACGTAAGTTAGATATTTGCAAACACTTTTGTTCACGTTTTCTTATTAAAAAAAAATGTTGCAACTCCTTCTTGCCATTACTTCGGTTGCAATGGCTGTCAAGAGTCAAACACGCTCGAATGGGCACTATTACTACTACTAACAGCACAACTATTAAGTTCTGCAATAATATATAGAGATAAAATAGTTATTATAAAAAGGTAAATAAAACTTTTTATTTTTTTGAACAAATAGAAAAAATTATCTTTTATATCAAAAGGAAGTTCAAGTCAGGCATAAACACTGTTCTATGGCCTAATAATATGGATAATAGTAATTTTATATGTCATTAGAGGTTTGCCATATTAACCTATTAAATTTTACTGTCAAATAAAAACTAAATTTTTTAATAGAGGAAAGGTTAAAAGGCATTTCTACTAAACTTGGATTTACTAAATTCACTGTTTTGGATATGCCATTTTTAAGTTTTTAAAAATCTTATGTCAATTTAGATTCAGGGGATCACAAGTTTACTATCCACAAATTTTTTAAGTGTTTTCAACTATTTTATGAATTTTGGCCAGGTTTTTCAAATTTCCGTCAACTGACAAAAAAAAATTTTTTTTAATGAATGTTGACGTTTATATTTTTAACTAAACTTAATTTTTGAAGATTATTTAAAATATGTACACATGTTTTGACATTTGAAGATCACTGCTTCATTGTATCATTGTTTTTTTCTATGCGCTGTTTGTCAAGATATATTATGCGCCGTCTGTCAAGGTAGAGCACTCACTCAAAAAGAGATTATCGAGTGTTGCAATCTACATTTCCTGCTTTAGTATTATCTTCAAGATCATTTTTTAGTCTTTGAAGTTCAATCAACTTTGTTTCTTCACCTTTTTTATATATCATTGTTTTTATTAAATATAATTGTTTTTATTAAAGTTATATCATTATATATTATTATCATTTATTATTATTATTATTATTATTATTATTATTATTATTATTATTATTATTATATTATCTTTTTATTAAAGTTATATTATTAAAGTTATATCATGATTTTTACTAAAGTCCAACTTTTACTTAATATTTGCTTCACAAGTGATGTCTCAGGTTTCCTGTTTAGATTTAGGTTTGTGTTGTCCCACAGATTTAGCACAAACTTAAACAAAAACGTTTTAAATACAGTTGTTATAGTTCTTTTTTTAAACTTTTATTCTTGAGGGTAAACAATAATATAAGGATAAACAATAAACTTTTATTCTTGAGAAACAATAATCAGGAATTTTCTACAGCTTAATTGATAACATTAAATTACTGATAAAGTTTGTCTTGCAGCTTCCACACAGTCCAATGAGAGTTTAGATGTTTAACCCTATATTGCATGATTTATTCCACTAATGATTAAAAAATTTGAAAATCCTTTTAAAATATTATTTGAGGACTATGAAAACAAAAAATAATCAAAAATTTTTTACCTTTTTACTTAGGTTTTTTGGACTTTGTTGCTTTAAGGCAACAATATGCAGTTATGACAGTTTTTTAAACTAAGTTACAATGTCAAAGAGTAGTTTATCTGAAGAAGATAATATTGTAAATTGACCACAAAGTCTAAACAAGAATTCTAAAATACAAATAACTACAGAATAATTGTAATTAAAAATCCAATTTACTTAACATTTAGTTACAGCTCTTGGTTAAAACAAGAAAATCTTTCAAAAAAATTTCAAAGTAAGAATTAGTTTACAAGCTTAACTATTATCTTAATTTCAAAAAACTGTAAATAAAAAACAAGAAGTATTTCAAGAATTATTCATGAACCTTTCGAAAACAATTTGAATTAGATGTAAAGCATAAATGAACTTTACACTTCTCACAAAAAACTTTCGTTATTCCAGTGCAGCCTGGATATTTGCAACGCCCTTTTTTGTCAACAAAAGAAGGAAAATGACCAATATTATCTTTCCTAGTGGATGGTTCAGGTATATTTGCAACAGGACCCCTCTTTCTCTTCAATCTATGAAGATGGTCAACAGAAGTGGATGGTTGTCCTCGTCTGCTGCTTAAAGCCTTGTCAGACTGAACTAAGCATTTTGCAACTTTCAGCTTAAATATGCGCAAGAATATCTTTCTTTAAAGCTTGTGACTTTTTCATGTCCCTACAGTAGAGTATCCATGCTTGTACTACAATCAAATCAAAAAAATGCTAAATGAGTTTGTGATACCACTTTTTAGATCGAATATGGATCCTGTAAAGACTCAACATGCTATCAAGAAGGTCCACCCCACCCTTATGTGTGTTGTATGTGGTAACAACAGATGGCCTTTTGACTTGAACAATTCTCTTGGTTTTTCTATCCCAACGGTTTACAATGGTTATTGGATTCACCACCTCATAACTTGTTAACAATCCAACACCCCTGTTATCAAACCTCAGCACATCAGTAGGCATTTTAATATTTGGAAGCCTGTTTGTACAAACTGTTCCAGTGCATGCTATGCCTTGGTGGTAAAGTGTTTTCACTAGGTCAAACCCAGTGTACCAATTGTCAAAAAACAACCATTTGTGTGCCATTTATGCCTTGATACATTGACTAACAGGTGCATCACAATATTTCCAGATGCTTTTAAATCAGGCTGTCCTACACAAACATCAATTGAACCGGAATGTATTTCAAAATTATTAACTAGTCCATCAACACTAGCTAAGATATAAAACTTGAAACCCCACTTTTTTGGCTTATGAGGATTATACTGTTTTAACGAAGATCTTCCTTTGAAAGGAACAACCTGTTCATCAATACACAGGATTTCGTCATGTTTCAGACTAATAAAAGATTCTTTCAGCATATTAATGATAGGACGTATCTTGTAAAGCTTGTCAGTACAGTTTTCTGGACGCTGTCTATCGTCATTACAATGAAAAAATAATTTTATTTTTTCAAATCGGTTTAATGTCATCACTGCAGCAACTTTTTCAAAATACAACTCATTGCTCCAATACATGCGTGTTGATGGGAGCTTCACAATACTCATCAAATACAAAATGCCAATAAATTGCACAAGTTCATCTTTTTCCAAACGTAACATATTCTCTATATTTATTTGTGATGCATATTTATTAGACTCATTAACAATCTTTTGAAGAAGTTCATCAGTTAAAAATCTTCTTACATATGATATTGGCTCATCTGAGATTCCATTATTATCATCTTCTTTATCTTCACTGTTTTGAAATGGAAGGTTTATTTGCTGAACATCTTTTTTAATTTTCCAAATAAGATTTCTTTTTTTCTTCCTGTGGTTGGTATGTTGTTGTGGTTGTTGCAGTAAATGTTGATGTGTTTTAGATGATGATAACTGTGGAGCTTGCTGTTGTTCATTACCATCTGAAGTCTCACTATCCCATTCTGAAGTACCATATTCTGATTCTGACTCTGATGTAATAAAGTCTTCAAAGATTCTCCTGAAAGATCACTGACTTCAGATAGTTCAGATTGATTTACAGGAAAAACAGTTTTTCGAAATGGGATTCTTAACCTCTTTGTAGATCCATAAAAGTTTTTAGGATTTATCTAAAAAAAATTTAGCAATATTTTTATTATTCTAGTAGACTGCATTGAAAGATAAAAATACTTAAACAGTGTTTTAAAAAGTTTAAGATAATTAAATTAATGCTTAAATTAAATTTGTACTTAATATTCTGCTTAAAGTTTAAGTTCTTATTGCATTTTTATTCTTCATCAAAATCTGTAAACAAATCACTATCATCTGACATTTCTGGATTTTGGAATGGAAATTATACAGGAGTAGTGATTTCGCCGGTTATCCGTTTCAAAAACCAGATAACAGTTCTCATCAATTTGCGGTTAACCGACTATTTGGTAAATTAGTGACGCTTTCTGAATACAGGATCTTCTAAATTTTAACGAACGTAGCGTTTTAAACTAATTTTTCAAAAATTAATGTTAAAGTGTACATTTTTAAGACAGTTAGTGAATACAGTCCTATATTATACATTTATAACAAAACATGGAAAAAGATATATATATTTTTTATATTATAATATAATATACCTTTTTTATTATATAATTAAAAAAGGTAGGAATAATGTACAAGTATAGTTTAAATGTTTTAATATCAGCGGATGTTTTAAAATCATTCTCTCATATAAAAACATTTGATTTGAAAAAAAATGAAATGTTATGAAGTAAATTTTTTTAGCGTGTATTTTAAAAACTTATTGTTATGCAGACAGATGGAAACATAGATAAACTTGAATGTTCTCAAAACAACTTGTTGCGTAAAGATAATATAAAGAATATTTGCTAACACTAAAATACCGCCAAATCTACGAATAAACAAATTCTATTGGTTTAAAAAATACGCTGAATAAGCGAATTAGAGTTCCAGAATATTCTGAAGAAACTTTCTTAAAAATGTATTGCTTGAGTTGTAAAAGTAATAAATAAATCTTTGAGATTTCTATTGTAAATTGTTCTAAGAATATATTATTAAACAAAACTGATTAAATTAACATTTAAATTAATAAAAGAAATATATTATAATCTTTGATAAATTAACATTTGTCAAACAATAATCGTCATAATTACGATGTTACTTTCTATAAATTTCGTAAAATTTTTAAGTCGGTTTTTATTATTCGAAAATAGATATTTGATATTCAAACAAAATTTGGTTAACCGCAAAACCGGATAACCGGCAAAATCACTATACAGGAGGATAATTAAGTTTTGACTTAGATAAGCTTCCATAAAAGCATTCAACACTCATCTAGTAACACAATTAAAACTTTTTACAAAACCTTGACAAAACATTTAAAAATAAACAATTCATAAATATGTTGTTTTTAGGTTTTTATATATCTAGTTGCATGGTGTTGCTTTAAAGCAGCAAACACATTTTTCAGATTTATACCTTTATAATAAATATAAATTAAATCTAAATGCTTCTAAAACATAGTTGTAACTTTAAAAAATTAATAAGTATTTTTTAATTGATATAAATTTGCTCAGAAATATCAAAATAAATTCTTCAAAGTTTAACAATATGAAGTGAAGTCGTCATCTCTAAATTAGCAATTTCAAATGTTTTCACTAAGGTAATATATAGTTTTATTGCAAAGTGGTCACATTTAAAATATTCTGTATCATATCTCTAAACTACTCAAAAGATACTTTGTGGTATGTTAATTTAAAGACACGCTATGCAATATAGGGTTAAACTAAATCAACAAATATTTTTACAGGTTGTAATAATTATACAATAAATATTCTTTTCCAAAGTTATACAATAGTTATTCCTTTCCAACTCATCCTTTTACTGTGACTGTTCCTAAATGCATTAAAAATTCTAATTCTAAATGCATTAAAAATTCTAGTTTTTTCCTTGAACATCAGTACTTTGGAATTCACTTTCTTAATCTTGTTTTCCTGATTCATATAATTTGCAACATTTTAAGTCAACTGTTAATCGTTATTTTGCTCTATAAATTTCATCTTTTCTCTTCTAGTAACTTCCAACTCTAATAGTGGTTACTTGCAGCATTATCAAATGAGTAACATTATTTTCTTTAGGTGGGTCATTCAAGTTTTTATTTTAAGAGTTTTAGATTCTCTTTAATGAATGAACTTGTGTTGGCTCAGCAATTTTAGTTTCCTTGATGGATGAATTTATGTTGGGTCAGCAACATTAGTTTTCTTCATGGATAAATTTGTGCAGGGTCAGCAACTTTAATTTCCTTTATAGGTGAATTTGTGTTGGTTAGCAATTTTAATTTCTTTGAGGGATGAATTTGGGTTAGGTAATAGGGTGGGTCACTTTTGAAATATTTTTGAATTTAGGTTCGGCATTTTTCTTATGTCTTTGACCATCACTTTGCAATGACATCGCAAATGGCGGACGCTTTTTTCAAAGGGATAAAAACAACTTTTTTAGAGAGGAAAAAAGAAAAAAAGAAAAGAAAACATTTATAAATTAAGCCAATAATAAAATCAACTAAAAATAAAAACCTTAAAACAAGAAAAGAAAAAGAAACATCTGAAAGAAAATAAATAAAGAAGTATAGAAAATAGAAGTTAAGAGAAAAAGTTAATGAATGAAATAAATAAAAAGAATGGAAAAAAAGGAAAAAAAACTTTATACATCGAAATAAGATCGAAAAATGAAGATTTTTTTATTCTTTCATACATTTCTTTTGTCTTATTTCATATATTTCTTTAGTTTTCTTTCATATTTTTTTAGGATTCTTTATTTACGATTTCATTTTTTATTTAAGCGGTCTTGTAGTAATGATTTTTCTTTAGTTTTTTTGCGTATAAAAATTTACTTATTATTTTTTGTTAGTCATTTATTGTTTTATTTTTTAGTTATTTAATTATTTAATAATTAAATAACTAAAAAATAAAACAATAAAATAAAATAGTGATATCTAATTTTTTATAGTGTTATATATTTTGTTTTTATTTTCGTTTTAAGCATTTATTATAAATGTTTTATTCTACAGTGTATTATTATTACTTTTCTTGTAGTTGTTGATGTTGTATTTTGTTTTATTGCCAAATGAACTTAACGTAAATTTTTGTTTTGCTTGTAACGTTTGTTGTAACTTTTGTTTTGCTTTGATTTTCTCAGTATTTTTCTTTTTTGCATTCTATTTATTTACTTTGTCATATTATTTGCAATATACTTCGGTTATTATATTATAAGAAAATTATATTTAATAAATCTTTATAATTTTTTTTAGCAGTGGTTGTTTTTATGTCATCGTTAGTTGTTACGTTCTGTCAGTTAATTACTGTTTGTAACTGTAACTTTGTATGTAAAAACGATTGTTGTATGGAAAATTTTACTGATTTATTTAAATTATTTTAATTACTATATTATTATTACTATTGTTAAAATAAAATGTTATTACTATTATTATTATTATTATTTATTATTATTATTATAAATATTATCTTTATTATTTTTACTATTTTATTCGTTATCATTAGGTGTTTACGTGATGTTAGTAGTTTATACTATTTGTAAACAACCTTGAAATGTATCACCAAATATTTCAGAAATATATATATTGATATTGATATTTATATTGACCATATGATAATGAGAACCAATTTTCTTTTTATTTGCATTTAATGTTTAATCAGGTAATTTTCAGCTTGAAAATTTTAGTTTTATCATAAATATAATATTTTCCCAGAGTTTTGTCAACTTTTTTACTTTTGTCATCTTCAAACCATTTTAAATCAATAAATGTCTTAAACTACACCTATTTTATCAAAAAAAAATTCAAAATATGATCCTAAAATATTGCAACTATAGGGGGTAATTTAACATAGAAATGGGTAACAGTTAATTTTTTAAAATGTATTGATGACGTATTTCTGAAAATTTTGTTTATGTACGCCAAAGTCGGATCACTAGTAACAGTTTTATTAATTATTAAAAGGAAGAAATAATAACGCATGTATTTATTGTATATAAATAAGTTTACAGTTATAAAGAATGGCTCAAAACACTTGTGATAAAGTTAAATGTAAATTAACAAAGCTAATTGGTACAGGAAAAACATTATTAGAGTTAGAACTACCAACTTTAAGAGATGTTTTAAGATATGGTCTCTTTCTTAGAAGGATTGAAGAAAATAACCAAAATTTAAGGCTAACTTCTGAAAAATTGCAAACCTCAGTAAAATATTTATGGCAAAAAGCTAATCCACTTATACCCATTATCTCTGATAAAGGAGGAAAAGAAAAAATCATATATGACTGGAAAAAAGTATATAATCTGGCGTTAGGTAGGGGAACATCTAAGCAACTTTCTGATCATAAATTAATCTTAGATAAACTGTTTGACATAGCTAAGTGTAAATGTTCAATAAAGCCATGCGAAAAATCTGATTGTTACGGCTGCAACCAAGTTTTTCATATTGTTTGCAAATGTTCTCAGGAAAATAAAATTCCTATTATTGAACTTTAATTTTTTAAGTCACAGAGATAAAGTTGGTTCTAAAAGTGGAATGCAAATAGGTTCAGTTGACAAAAAAGAAGTATCCAGACAAAAAAAATACCATCAAAGAAAGCAGAACAAATCAAAGAGAGTTAGGATTGAGACTGTACAGTATCCTGATGTATTATCTCAAAATGATGTGGAGTCAGACAATGCTGAGAATGATTATAATGACAATCTTTATTTACCAGAAATAAAAAAAGTTTCTCAGCTAAATACCTTAAATGTAAATCATATTGCTTTGTCAGCATTACGATTTGGTACAAGTAACAGAGCAACTGCATCAATAGACACTGCAACATTAAAAGCAGCCAAAGATGCAGGTTTTTTGAAAGATCATATACTTGATAAACACCTAGCTCTGGATCATAAAAAAATTGAGAAATCAAAGCAAAGAGTAATGAATGTCTGTAAAGAGAGACACAATAATGAAGTAAAGAAAGAGGGCATACAATGTATAATGTTTGATGGTAGAAAAGACCTTACTAAAACAGTTGTATATGGCAATGATGGTAAATCTTACCCTAGGGAGATCAAAAAAGATCATTATAGTGTCTGTTCTGAACCTGGTGGAAAAGATTTATTCCACTTTGTAAATAATTCAAAGGAGAGAGAAACACCTGCTGAACATATTGCTGAACAATTATATGATTGGATAATAGCACATGGCATTGAAAACCAATTAGTTGCAATTTAAGGAGTCAGGTTTTATTTTTATTTTTTTAAATGGTAGTTAAAAATTTTATGTACTTCTTTTTTTTTTTTTACTGAAAATAAAAATTTATTTTAGGTTGGAAGGGTGGAATTATTCAATTTTTAGAGAAAAAACTAGGATTCAAACTTATCTGGATTATTTGTGCGCTACATACCAACAAATTGCCATTTAGGCATTTAATGTTAGCTTTAGATGGAAAAACTTTATCTGAAAATAGATTCTCAAGAAACATCGAAAAACTTATTAATGCATCCCTTAGCTTGATTTTGTTGTAGACCTAATTCATCTCAAGAAGGAAGTTGTAGATTCACTGTCTACAGATCAGAAGTATTTATACAGAATACATAATGCAATAGCATCAGGTGTTTTTCCTGATGACTTGAAGGAGATTCAAATTGGTCCACACAATCATTCAAGATGGTTAAATCTCGCAAATAGACTACTTCGAATCTGGTGCTCAGAGCATGGTTTAAAAAACAAAGATCTACAAAACTTGAAATTGTTAACAGAGTTTATCATGGGTGTTTATTCGATTATGTGGTTTGATCTTAAGGTAAGAAACTTAGTTATGTAAATAAAGATATAATACAATAATTTACTTAAATACTATAATTTACATTAATAACTGTAAAACAATTGTGATTATGCTAAAGAAGAGTAATTGACTTTAGACTAAACATAGCTGGATTAAAGGTCCACATCATATCTTTAAGCAACTAGCCTTGGTAAAAAAACAGAACAAGTTTCTGAGGGATATTGTACTACCGCATGTCTGCTCCTCTGCATGGAATGCACATAGTGAATGTATTCTTCAGACAATGCTCTGTAGTTTAGATGAAGGAGAAAGGAGATTTGCAGTGCAGAAAATAATCGATGATAGAAAAAATAAGGATGTTGGAGACAGAAAATGCAGGAATAAAAGAATACCAGTTATAAACACTGAATCAAATAATCTAATAGATTTAATCAATTGGGAAACAGAGGAGATCAGTGAACCAGTTCTTACTTGTTGTTTGATGAGAGATAATATTATACAGTTTTTTAATAATCCAATGGTTGTACCAAACTTCCCTATTCATGGTCAATCTATTGAACGCATTGTGAAAGAGATCACCAGGGCTTCAATGTCCGTGTGTGGTGCCGAGAGAAGAGATGGGTTCATAAAGGCTACAATGGCTCATAGAGAGCTGATGCCTGTGTGCCAATCAAAAAAAGATCTGATGAAAATTTTGTAATCAGTATTTTAACTTTTTATTATGAGTAAACAATTTATTTTAGAAAAATATGCGGAAAATGCTGTTAACAATATTTTAATGTCTTATTATGTGTATAGGCTTAATGTACCATAAAATTTTAAATTTTGATGTAACTTTAATATATTATTGATGTAACTAGGTTAACTTAGGCTCAGGAATCTTTTTAGACTTTATTTTATTGAGTAATAGCAAACCATTTTTCATAACTTTGCATAAACGATATATTTATGATAAAACTTAAATTTTTAGTCTAAAAATTACCTGACTAAACATTAAATGCAAATAAAAAGGAAATTGGTTCTCATTATCATACGGTCAAAGACATAAGAAAAATATCCAGCCGAACCTAAATTCAAAAATTTTTCAAAAGTGACCCACCCTATTGGGTAAGCAACTTTAGTTTTTTTGATGGATGAATTTGTGTTGGTTAGCAATTTTAGTTTCTTTGATGGATAAATTTGTGTTGGGTCAGCAACTTTAGCTTCCTTTATGGATGAATCTGTGTTGGTTAGCAATTTTAGTTTCTTTGATGAATGAATTTGTGTTGGGTCAGCAACTTTAGTATCTTTGCAATGATAATAATAAGTAACATTTAATTTTTCCAAAATTTCAAATAAAATTTTTTTTTAAATAAAAGCAAAATATTCCAAAAAGAAAATACATTGAAATAATTTTAAATTTAAAAATGTTTGCGGTATAAAATTTGAGAAAAGAAAGGAAAAAAGAAACTTTGTTATTTTTATTTAAAGCATTTATTTTTAAACAGTTTTTATTATAATTTAAGATTTTTAAGTTTATTATTTAGAGTCAACGCTTTTATAAAAAAAATATTTATTGTTTTATTAAAAATCAGATTTCGTTAATAAATAGGTTTTCAAATTCTGAAAATCAAATAAAATATATCCAAGTAAGATACAAATTAACTCATGTCTGAGTTATAATGTTATGTCAAAAAAAAATATATATATATTTGCTGAAAATTTTAAATAAAAAATATTTAAAAAAAAAAAAAAAATATTTAAAAAAAAATAAAAATAAATTTATAACAATATTTTGATTACAGTAAGTCAATGAAAAATAACCATTTTGAGATTCAAAACTTTTTTTTTTTCAAGGTTGAAACATTTATTTTTCTTTTTTTTTTTTACTTTTAAAAAACTTAAAATTCTTTATCATGCACAACTTTTAGTTCAAGATAAATAAATATATAGCTTTTTTGAAAAAATTGATGAACAAAAGTTATAATACTCACTCTTGATGAACTAGCAATACGCCGTTTAATTTTACGATATCGGTCATAAAGAGGCCGCATAAGAACTTTATCCTCTTTGGTCTCCTAAAATAATTTTTGTAAAATAATTTACTACTATATATATATATATATATATATATATATATATATATATATATATATATATATATATATATATATATATATATATATATATATATATATATATATATATATATATATATATATATATATATCTTTTATTTAAATAGATACTATTAATATTATATAACACAATCAATTATGTAATCTATATAGTGTAAAACGATTTTTTGTTTATTTTGTATCAACTCTCCATAAGTTTAGCACATTGGCTTTTAAGAGCATTCATAAAAGAAATTATCATCCTTTATGCAGAAATAATGTTCATAGAAATTATGTTGCAACCAATAATAATTGTCCAGGGAATAATTATGTAATGATTATTGAAATAAAATAAAAATTTAAAAATATTGCAAAACTGTGTAAATATTTTTATTACCTTATATTAAACTTTTGTCATTGGAAAGATATTTTCAATCTGGGGTATAAGAAGAAAATATAGAAAGAATAAATATACAAAAATTGAAACAAGTTTTTTTTATAATGAAGCATTTACAAGAAATCTAGAAATATTTGAAGGAGAATGCAGCAACACGAACAGTAGTACTGTTAATTTGACTTTGTTGGCCTTGGACCATTATCTTGTAAACAGTATTTTAAAATTGAAATTGTAATTGTCTTGGATAATGGGAAACTTAATAATAAAAATCACGATCAATTAAACACACTTTAAAATCGAGCGGTTAAAATACCTCAAAATATTAAAAATAATGTATTGAATCATTAATTTCCATATACTTTTAAAAAAACTTTCAAATAGTGAAATTTGTAACAGAGATTAGTTGTGTTGGCTTGTGTTAAAAACAAATCTATTTATTTAATACTTTGCGGTTCCTGAACAAGTAAAAAATTATTTTTTCCTATTTAACAGATAAAATTGAATACAGTAAGCAAAATGTACTGAATAAGTTATACTTTTATTAAAATAGAAAGCTTGATTTTTAAATGAAATCAATCACTAAAATGATTATTGAGAACAATTACACAGGCTTACAAAAAAAAAAAGTTTTTTGGTGCCTAAGATTTAATAATTGATTTTAGCTATATTTTTGTTGCTGAATCTCAAAAAAGCTGATATAGAAAAACTGAAAAAAAAATTTTTCTCTATCAGCTCTAGTTTTTGAGATGAATTTTTTTGTGCGATTTTACACGAAATTAACAGTTTTAACTCCATTTAGTAATGTTATAACTCGTATAGACAATGTTTGGTTACTGTATTCTATATATTTGTTTTATTCAGTTTATTGGTCTGTTTGCAACAGGAAAATTCACTAGGTGGAGTAACCATACTGTAAATTAAGTGAACTTCAACTATAATTGAGATTAGTATGAGAGTTGCTGCCGTGCGGAATAGATGAAAGTTGGTGTTGCGTGATATTTCTATTTTCTGAAGTGTTGTTGTTAAGTTAACCTAAACAGTATTGTGTTGTAAATTGTTGTTGCATTTTTGTATTTAGACCTAGATAAAATGAGTTCAAATAGAAGAAGTTGTGTAAATCACCCTGATGTGTTTTGCTACATATGCGGAGAATATATGTTAAAAGAAAACAGAAAAAAAGTTAGTGACTTTTTAAAGAGGGCTTATCTTGCATACTTTGGTGTTAGGCTTGGGGATCAAGATAAAACCTGGGCCCCACATCAGGTCTGTAAAACTTGTACAGAACATTTACGACAGTAGACTATCGGGAAAAGAAAAAGTATGAAATTCGGCGTGTCAATGGTTTGGAGAGAACCACGAAACCATTTCAATAATTGTTATTTCTGCATACTAAATATTACTGGAATCAATCGAAACAACCGTAGCAAGTGGATTTATCCTGATTTACTATCTGCAAGACGACCGGTTCTTCACTCAGAGGAAGTTCCAATCCCAACGTTTCTCCAGGTACCAGAGCTCTGCGAGTATGAATATTGTGATTCTAATTCTTTTGATACTAATGAAATTGACAGTGATTATGAGGGAAAGGCATCTATTCCACAACAATTCAACCAAGATGAGTTGAATGACCTTACCAGAGATCTCAATTTATCAAAAGAAGCTTCTGAGTTACTTGCTTCCAGATTGAAGGACAAAAATTTACTGGAACAAAGAACCAAAATTACTTTCTACCATACACAAGAAAAGGATCTGCTACCCTTCTTTTCTCAAGAAGAGGATCTTGTATTTTGTCACGAAATTAGAAGATTCCTAGAAAAGATGAGTCTTCCTAAATATTTTCAAGATGACTGGGGTCTATTTATTGATAGCTCAAAGCAAAGTTTGAAATGTATTCTTCTGCACAATGGAAACAAATTTGGTTCAATACCAATTGCTCACTCAACAAAAATAAAAGAAGAATATAACACCATTGCTTTAATCTTGGAAAAGCTAAAGTACCAGCAACAACAATGGGTGATTTGTGTGGACCTAAAAATGATTAACTTTCTCCTGGGACAGTAAAATGGTTACACTAAATATCCTTGCTTTTTGTGTCTCTGGGATAGCAGGGACAAAACACACCACTGGACTAAAAAAGAATAGCCTAAGAGAAAAAACATGGAAGTTGGGAAAAATAATTTAATTAACAACGCCTTAGTTGAAAGAGATAAAATCATTTTTCCTCCACTGCATATCAAGCTAGGCCTTATGAAGCAGTTTGTAAAGGCTCTTGATAAAGACGGATCGTGTTTTGGATAAATAGGGGAGAAGATGCCACAGTTGAGTACAGAAAAAATTAAACCAGGAGTATTTGATGGTCCGCAAATAAGACAATTTATTAATGACTATGCCTTCGTGAATTCAATGAATGAAACTGAGCGAAAGGGTTGGACTTCATTTGTTGCAGTTGTCAGAAATTTTCTGGGCAAACGCAAAGATGAAAACTATGTTAAACTGGTTGACAACATGTTTAGCAGTTTCAAATCCCTCGGATGTAATATGAGTATTAAGGTGCACTATTTACACAGCCATTTAGATCATTTTCCTAAAAACTTAGAAGACATGAGTGAGGAGCAAGGTGAAAGATTTCACCAAGATATTAAAACTATGGAGGATAAAAACCATTTTCATAAAAGGTATTAAATTTTTTTGTTTTTTAGGGTGAAGGAGCCATCACCCCCCCTAGCCCCCTCATTGGCGCTTCTTATTTCATTAAAATGATCTCAAAAATGCGAGCTGATTGGCAAAATCTAACAGTATATTTGAGTTCAGGGCATTAAACTCATATAAAATTTGCTGCAAATACCCCGGCACCAAAATAGCTGTTGGCCTGTGTTACAAAAACTTTATCTTGATGTAATATTTTTTCTATCTGAATGAGGGTTTTTTAACTTGATACACGCATCAGAAATGGTAATTTTCTTGGATCATATAAACTGTTAAGTATATATGATCCAATATTTATTAACTGATCACTAATTTGGGTTTCAAAAGTTTAGGCTGCACGCAAAGACAAAAAAAAATTATATTCTACGTCCAAGAATTCCAAACAAATTTATTACTATTTTATTGAAAATCATATTGTTGAAATTTTGGATGCTTAATACTTTTACATTATTGCTGATTTCCAGATTCATCTTCTATGGAACAAACAACCTTAATTATTCTGTAAACTTCAAATTAAAAATGTCAAGTACACAGAAGTCAAATTTTTAATTGAAGAATTTATCATATGCTTTGTTGATTTTTTGGATAAAATGGGTCTGGAAATTGTTATTTAGAAAATTTGTTGCTAGAATTTAAATCAGATTTTAAAAGCTGTGTGGAGCAAGGATACAACAATGAAACCAATATGACTAGAAAATATAATGTTGAGCAAACAGTTTCTAAGTGTAAAAACAAAAATTATACATTCTTTAGTTGTGGAAATCACACATAAAATCTTGTTGGAGTCACCAGAATATTGTAAAGAAGCTTTCTATATTACCGTCCAGCAAATTTATAATTTTTTAAGGGAAAATCAAATCTTGATGCTCATGAAATTGAATCAAGAAGACTTCTTGTTGCGTCTCAAACATAGGGTTTAACTTTTAAAAAAATCTCAAAATTAGATTGTGTGATTAATTTCATGTCTTTTAATTAATTACATTAGTTTGGCTAATTTATTTAACTTTTTCTAATTTATTATACCAAACAAAACTCATTATCAAAGCATGTTATACAATATTATGAATATTGAGAAAGATTTGACATTGAAAACTGATTCAAAGATAAAGAAAAATTTAATAAAAAACGGAGTTCAGTTTTTAAAGAGTGTGAAATTATTGCAATCAAAAATAAAATCACATCAGACTTAAAAAAAAAAGTCAACATTTAAAAGATCAAAAAACCTGCCAAGTATTATATAAGTGCTTTCAACAAAAATACAAACTATGTAATAAATGGACTTTTGCACCGATTTCAAGTGATTTCTTCAATTTGCAATTCATTCAAGCAAATTCATTCATTTAAGTAACAAAGTTGTTAAAAAAGTATAAGAATGAACAAAGAATTTATAGAAGAAATGAATATGCTAAAACAAATTTACGAAGCAATCTAAGCACGAAAGTAACTTTTCAAATGAAGCTGTAAAAGAGCTAAGCAGGAAATCACATTACATACAGAAGTTGGAGTGATACAAATGTAAAGCAATGGATCAACCTGTTTGTCGGCTATATCAGGTAAAACTCAACTAATGGTGATATTAATAAAAAGTTCTTAGCAAATAATTCAGCTTTGTCTTTAGGTGAAGTAACGAAAACTGAACAATGCAAGGGAGGTGGAATAACAGATTTGCCCTTACTATAGACACTATTAAAGATTCTCTAGAAGTCACGAAAGCTTAATTTTTGAGATGAAATACAAGATATTATGACCTAACAATAGTGGGCTTTAGCGTTAGACAAAACTTTTTACGAATGGCTTCTAGCAATACTAAACAGACTGTTTCTGTTTTCGGGAGATTTGTTTTGCTAATAGATATGAAAATAATG